TTATGCATAATTTACTCTTTTTACTAAAAGATATATCAGGGCACATTGAAATAAAGTTGTACCTACTTTACTAAGTTGATACTTTAAATGAACCCAGCATACTGTTAAGTCTTTTGCATTACTTTATGAAAGGGACAATTCTGAATAGAAACGTTTTTCTCTGAGAAAGACAAAACAGTCTGATATGCAGCATTATTTAAAAAAAAAAAAATCAGTAATAACTCATAAGGTCATAACTTTCTAAATACACTGAGCTCAGACAATGCATTTTTGGTAACACTTTATTTTAATGTTCCCCTTCAGACATTCTGTTGACTATAAGCAACTTTGCACCTATATGTCAACTATTTCTCATTAGAGTATTAGTTGAGTTTTAGTAGACTGTCTGCTTAATACTGTATCTAATAAACCTTCATCTTAATAGTTAATTAAGATTAAACTTAATGTAGACAGCAGAATATCTAAAGGGGACCATCAAAATAAAGTGTAGCCCATTTTTATTGTGCTTTTATTGTATTTATTTAAAAATTTCTAGTTTCTGATTTTTAAATATCCAACATCTGACTACAGTGAACAACTTGTATAACACAAATGAAACGCATATTTCCTCCAGAAGCTTTGGCTTGCTTAAAGAAAAAGAATCCCACGCACTCTTCACAGTTCACCCACCTCATTTGTTTGTATTTCCTAAGCAGCCTTCATGATTGTGAGTTCCGAGGCAAACTTCTTCAAGGCTATATGGGGAAAAATGTTCCTCCCAGAAATCACATTATTTTGGCCTGGAGTGCAGCATGTGATAGCAAACAATTATAATTACAGTTCTTAATGGGTTGATGTTATTTTTTGTATTCACCTTGATTGATTTACATAAGTGCATGTGTTTTGAGAGCAGTGGAAGGTGGAGTGTTGCATAAAACACAACATGAACAGCAAATAAAAGGCGAAACGGAGGAACGGACACCTCTTTCTTCCTGCATTCACTTCTGATGAGGGGGTTGTCAGAATGATTTCAGTATAGTCTGGTGAGATTAAGGGTTACTCATTGATGTCTAATTTAGCGATTTGGGTCAGAGGAGGCCTGCTGTCTGCTCTTTGTGCGCCGCTCCACTCGTACGAGACATCTGATTCATGCAGCTATGACAGTTGCCACAATTGTCCTAAATACCCAGTGCCGTTTTCTGCCCCATTTCATTGATGTTCACTTTGAGAGGGAGGGGGGAAGGGGGCATTTAAGTCTCTAAGAGGATTATGGTCTGGGAGGAAGGATTTTTTTTCTGCTTAGTAATATCTGCGAGTGGGCACAAGTGCATCTGCAGTATCACGACTGAGAACAGCTGATGTGGGTGGTGGGCGGAATAGGCCCTCCAGTAATTTTGTTTCTGTGTCACGATGCGGGGGTGTGATTTCAGCTTGCGGCCGTAGCAGATTTTCTCTATTTCTAATCCTTTATTACTGGCAGCATTAATCCAAGAATTAGAAAGGGGGAATGACAAGTGTATTAAATGTGCAATATAATGACTTTGAGCAAATTGCAGTTTCATCGGTCTAAACAAAAAGACAAAAAAAGGTTTGATGTGCATTTAATACTACACAGGTTGATGCTTCATTGTTTGAGAAGAAAAATGCATAAGAAAAGATGGAAGAAATGGAAAAGCTCTTGTTTCACAGATACGTGAAAACTGTGCCATGTGCCATTTTTAAGCAAGCACACAGATGTATTTTGTTGCACAATCTACATTACTGTCTTAACTGTGTATACAAAATAATAATACATTTCCACCCTTTACTAGACGACAAAATCATTTTCTGCTTTTGGGAATTTTATAAGACATACACTCACCTAAAAGATTATTAGGAACACCTGTTCAATTTCTCATTAATGCAATTATCTAATCAACCAATCACATGGCAGTTGCTTCAATGCATTTAGGGGTGTGGTCCTGGTCAAGACAATCTCCCACAATCTCTCAGAATTGGAAAGAAAGGTGATTTAAGCAATTTTGAGCGTGGCATGGTTGTTGGTGCCAGACGGGCCAGTCTGAGTATTTCACAATCTGCTCAGTTACTGGGATTTTCACGCACAACCATTTCTAGGGTTTACAAAGAATGGTGTGAAAAGGGAAAAACATCCAGTATGCGGTAGTCCTGTGGGCGAAAATGCCTTGCTGATGCTAGAGGTCAGAGGAGAATGGGCCGACTGATTCAAGCTGATAGAAGAGCAACTTTGACTGAAATAACCACTCGTTACAACCGAGGTATGCAGCAAAGCATTTGTGAAGCCACAACACGCACAAACTTGAGGCGGATGGGCTACAACAGCAGAAGACCCCACCCGGTACCACTCATCTCCACTACAAATAGGAAAAAGAGGCTACAATTTGCAAGAGCTCACCAAAATTGGACAGTTGAAGACTGGAAAAATGTTGCCTGGTCTGATGAGTCTCGATTTCTGTTGAGACATTCAGATGGTAGAGTCAGAATTTGGCGTAAACAGAATGAGAACATGGATCCATCATGCCTTGTTACCACTGTGCAGGCTGGTGGTGGTGGTGTAATGGTGTGGGGGATGTTTTCTTGGCACACTTTAGGCCCCTTAGTGCCAATTGGGCATCGTTTAAATGCCACGGCCTACCTGAGCATTGTTTCTGACCATGTCCATCCCTTTATGGCCACATACCCATCCTCTGATGGCTACTTCCAGCAGGATAATGCACCATGTCACAAAGCTCGAATCATTTCAAATTGGTTTCTTGAACATGGCAATGAGTTCACTGTACTAAAATGGCCCCCACAGTCACCAGATCTCAACCCAATAGAGCATCTTTGGGATGTGGTGGAACGGGAGCTTCGTGCCCTGGATGTGCGTCCCACAAATCTCCATCAACTGCAAGATGCTATCCTATCAAAATGGGCCAACATTTCTAAAGAATGCTTTCAGCACCTTGATGAATCAATGCCACGTAGAATTAAGGCAGTTCTGAAGGCAAAAGGGGGTCAAACGCAGTATTAGTATAGTGTTCCTAATAATCCTTTAGGTGAGTGTGTGTGTCAAAAATGTCATGAGAAAACAGTACAATGAATTTGACCATGCGACTAGAGATTCTGTCAAAATGCCACAGTTAATTCACTAAATACTACTGAACAGTCTCCAAACTGTATACATTGCTTAATCATTTTGTTTAATTTCTATGAAAGACAGTGGTTGCAACCACTTTTGTAACTATGGGAAAAAATGCAAATATGGAATTTCCATTAATTTGGTGGAAATGGTGGTTACTATGGTATGTTTAAGTAGACTCATGAGGTTTAATTCACTCATGCCTGTAAAACCCCTTTTTCCCAGAACCTGAAATCAGTTGTGACACTAAACAAAAGTTTCTTGGGGAAATTTTCAAAATCATCACTTTTGCTGCAACCCTGACATGTATATTGACCAAGTGATTTTATGAGTCACATGTCATAATGCAGATGATTGTCAGTACATAATTTTCCCAGTTCCCTTTTGCAGCTTCCTTACTTAGTAACTTGGTGACATCTGACATGTTCAACCTTTACTTTTACAATGATTTAACAATCTTACTAATGGGAATAGGAAACATTTAACCTAATGAACAAGTAAACCTTTTGTAAACCAGCAATACCGATCAAAAATACAATTTACAAATTCACAATACAATTCTATATAACTTAGATATGTGAAGATAACTACAGTGGCCGAGAGAGCTCGACGCGCTTGCAACTGATGAAAAGAAATGCAAATGGAAAAAACACCAGCAAATTAAGAAATCGTTTGACAACATGTGTAATGCAAATACTCACAACGTAACCAAATACAGAAACGTGCTATTTGCATGTGTTTTCTTCACTTGCAGTGCGTTGAGCTCTCTTGGCCACTGTAAATGATCCATAAAGACATGAATTCTGTCAAATACATTATAATTATATACTACATATATCAATGCAAATCCATTAAACCAATTGGTGGTCCCCATATACTGGAAGTCATTAAATCCTATCTAGAGTCATGTCCTGTGTATTAACATTTGGATTTGAAAACACAGTAATCCCCTGGCTCCACTGAGACACTATAATCTGAAAAAGATTTATTTCTATTTATACGTACATTATAATGAGTGTCGTCTTTATCTCTCAATTGGATGTAAGGGTTGCGTAACCACCAACATCACAATTTTTCACCATATTACAGAGGACTGCAAAGACAGCAAAATATCACCCCCTACTGGAAGGCTGTTTCTATTACAAGGCTCCATGACATGAGAGACATTGGATTGACCATGTTTTAATGCATAATAATATACAGCCTAATATTATGTATATATAAGCCTTATCCATTGGATGCATTTTTGCCTCTGTCTTATAAAATGGACACTTCTTATGCACAACTCGTTTGTTTTTACAACTTTTTAGGTAAAATTGTGGCTTAGGACTACCATATTACTTTAGAAATATCAGTGATTTATTTTCAAATTCACAAGTTTATGCGATCCTGAATGTTTCTGTGTATTTATAATTGTGTGTGAGTTAAGGAGGCGCAATAATTTAGAACAGCGATTAGATAAACTGACTGGCACTACCTGTGTAATCAATTGTTTGAAGAACACACACCTCCCAGCCAAATATAAAGCCACATCTTCTTCTACTTTTATTTTGATCAGGTCATAAATACCACCCACTGGTCTTACTAACATCTATAATTAGACAAGTCCAGCATTAGTAAAACAATTTTTTTTTAAAATACATACTTAAAATGTTATTTTTACCTTTCTGTAAAAACTTTAGTTTGCTTTCTGTACTTCAGCACAGTGAAACTCTGTTTTCATAACCATACAGTAAACCATTGTTGAGATGGGAAGTTATTGTTGAATATAGGAAGTTATTACTGTAGGGAAGTTACCGCTGATTTTTTTTTATATATATACTGTACTTCCTCTATTTTATCTAGGCTATATATTTGACCGAAGAGGAGCTATTGTTCTCTTCTGTCCTGTACACAATGGAGAGGCATTTGGTTTTTTACATGTTATGTTACACTATTCTGTTTCACTTTTTAGCTCATAATGAAGCAACACCGTGGGCTAGCAGACAGTGTCAACAGGTAAATTTATGGTTGTTTAGCTTGCATGGTTTTCTACACAACGGACAAACGTGAAGCATGAATTAATTCTGTTAATGTCAAGTTTTATCTTATCTTATGTCTAACTGTTCAGTGTAACACTTGTATGTTTTTTTTTTTAGATAGCAAACGGCTATGATTGTAGCGGTATGGACCTACAATTAATTCCAGATGAGGTACCAAATTCTGTCCAAATTTTTAAATTTAGCTTCAACTACCTGCCCGCCCTATACAACTCCACTTTTCAGAGGCTAAATAACTTGCATTCATTAGACCTGACAAGGTGAGCAAAGCCAATTTTCTTTTAAGTTGAGTTGTGTAAAAGTGTGTATCAAAGAATCTAATGTTTCTTCTTCTTACACTCAAACCTTATAACTTACAGGTGTAGTATCACTTTCATGTATGAAGACATTTTTAAAAATCAGCCTGACTTGGAAGTCCTAATCCTAATCGGAAACCCACTTGTGTTCATCGCAAGTAGAGCTTTTTTTGGACCACTAGCATTGAAATATCTCAGTCTAGCTCAGTCAAAAATCAAAAGCCTATCAGACATCCCGTCGGATAATCTTGCATATTTGGAGGTTCTGGACCTTGGGGGAAGTGGCATTCACTCATTAGATGGACTAAGCAGTTTCCACTGGCAAAGCGTGAACAGCCTGCAGCTGGATATGAACTCTATTGACCGGATAAGTCTGACTGACCTGCAACCAATCCACAATGTGGTCGGGATGAGCATCAGCTTCAAAGGAAACGATTTTTTTTCTATAGAACCAGGTGCTTTTCAGTCACTGAAATTGAGCAGTCTTGATTTCAGTGGCTGCTTCAGCAAAATGAACTTCTCCTCCCTTCTGAGAGGGCTTGAAGGTATTACAACCAACAGGCTGAAACTGGGATTGTATGAAAGCGATCCAAATGTGTTCATACCATCAGCTGCTCTACAATCTTTTTGCAAGATCCTCGTTACTGACCTAGATTTCCAGCTTCAGCATTTCTTAGACCTAAATAATTCCACGTTTCATTGCCTTGAAGGGCTTAAAAAGCTTGACCTTACCAGAGCCCACCTGGATTCATTGCCCTTTAACATGACTGGCCTGTCCAACTTGTCCCATCTGGTGCTAGATGAGAACAGATTTTCAGATGTCTGCAGCATCAACACCAAAAGCTTTCCCATGCTTACGCACTTGTCAGTGAGCGGGAACTTAAAGCCCCTCGAATTCAGCAATAGATGCTTGGAGAGTCTCAGAGTCCTAGAGGAGCTGGATCTCAGTCATAGTTCAGTAAAACTCAGAGGACCTTGTTGTAACGACCAGCTGTTTGGTCTGAGTGAACTGAAGCTCCTCAATCTCAGCTATAGCTTACCAATGGTGTGGAGTTCGCAGCCTTTCAGTGCGTCTCCACAGCTGGAGCACTTGGACTTCAGCCATTCACTTTACAGTCTGAACGGCAGCTCACCATTCAGCAATCTACAGAGTCTCCGAACTCTAAATCTTTCCTGGTCAAATACAAGTCTGACAAATATGCACATCTTCAATGGATTGAAAACCTTGCAACTCCTCAATTTGAAGGGGAACCCCATTCAAGGAGGGGTTCTTAGCCATGCAGAGCTCTTTAAATACGTCCCTATTTTGGAAACCCTCATTTTATCTTCATGTAAAATAACTGCCTTCGAAGAGAACTTGTTTAAAGGTCTCACCCACCTCAGGCAAGTAGACCTGAGTGAAAATAAGCTTGTAAAACTAAGCACCTCTGGGTTTTACTCCCTGTATTCTATCCAACTTAACTTTGCCAGTAATGCCATTGTGACAGTGGATGTTGGAAGTATTATTAATTTGGGAAAAGGAAGTACTGTCGATCTGAGTTACAATCCCCTAGTATGCAACTGTAGCAACTTTCAGTTCATCAACTGGGTTAAGAAAAACACAGTCAAAGTAAAACACTTAATGGAGACAGTTTGTAATGCTACAGAAACAAGGATTATTGATGCTAAACTTCAATGCGAATTTCCTGTTGGTGTAATTGTATTTGTTATAATTCTAGTCGTGATTATAATTGCATCTGCCGTTTTCTGCCTTGTCAGGAGAATTAGAAGATATCCTAGATACACACAGCTGTAAATTCAGAAGATTTAGTTTGGGCTTCCTCCATATGCAAGCAACCCAGACAGCAACATAGTGTCGGCCCAGATCCAGCCCACATGTGGTATGCGTTGAATCCACATGTACCAGATGTGGCCCGGATATGGGCCGACACTATGTTGCTGTCTGGGATTAATGTTTGCTTTAAGTTGGAGATCAAATATGGCAATCTACAGTATCAAAGCCAATTTTTTTTTTTTTTTTTTTTTTTTATATAACTCAAATTATTATTTTATTATTATTATTATTATTTATTTGTAGGTTCAGAGTTTTAAAAAAAATTCTAGGTCTAAAGTCCCTTTTCAATCACTTTAACTACTTCCTTGATTATTTTGTTTGAGACTTTTAAGCTTGTATTATGTTGCAGGTCAATTTGACCCATTTTAATTTTTGAGTTGTCAGAAATATCGGTTAACCGTTTTTTTTTTTTTTTTTTTTTTGACATTTTGTGATTTTTTTCTCATTTAGGGTCATGTTGAAGGGGTGGATTCTGGAATCCACTGCTGCTTCAATGTATTTCTAATGAGTGATTATAATCAAGGTATTAATCAATATTTTTCCTTCTAAATATCAAATGAGTTGAATGACTTCTCTAGGCTTATGAGATTTTAATTAGTTATAGTTAAGTTACCAGTGTGATTACTGAAATGTTCTTTTCATGTATTCTTTAATGTCTGTACGAAATATCTGAGAGGTGACTGAAGGTCCATGCCAGGAATGCAGTAACAGTGCTTGCTCATTTAGCCCGGCTTCCAGAAATTAATTATGGACTCCGTTAACGTGTCAATACATCCATCTGCTTTTCTAGGGTACCCTGACCGTAATGGTCACATGGGTCATTGAAACCTATAGTTGAGTGACCATTTCTCAGGTAAAGTCTTTACTGCGTTAGACTAAAGTGTCCTCTCCTTGAGAACTGTGTTAGATTAAAGTGTCCTCTCCTTGAGAGAAAGAACGTATTATCTTGATGTTTTGAGAATACTCTCCTGTTTATAGTTAGAGCCTGGCCAAATCTAACCTGTGTGTGTTTTAGTATTCCTGGTTACAGGTTAAGGAACAAGTGGCATTATTGGAGATTGACTGAATTGTTTTCTTCGACTTGTTGGCACACAGCAGATCTGCGACCTGGAAGGTCATGACGTGCCTAAATTCTGGGTCTGCGTGTCAGCCACATAATTGATGGAGATATGCTTCAGTCTATCTGTTTATGTGTGGAAATTTACTATGTTTATCTATTTCTTAGCCAATCAGAATCATTCAACCTGAAGAAAGAACGTAGCTTAGACCTTGGTGAAGGGTATAACTGCTGTGATCTTTGTAACTGTAAACGGGGCGGCCACCAAAAAAATAGACACTTAACAGGATCTAATGATGTACAACACTTATATGTAAGATCAAAATCAACAGAGTATTTTGAGTCTCTTTTGCACTGATAAGAAAAAAAGTGAGCTCGTCGCGCCAGCGCGATAGCCGACCGGTTTTAATACCCGCAATTTCTAGTATTCCATTAGTATTGCATCCTTCTCATGGGCATTTCATCATTTTTGACTTTTCAGTCTGAGTTAAATCTCTTTTTTGGCTTATTTTATCTGTAAATGTAAACTTGCCTAATAATTATGGACACCTGAATATAAGGCGTTTTTCATTTCCAGCCTTCATGTACAATTATACATCACTTGATTAAATACAAAATTAATAGTAGTTAAGATTAATGTGGTTTGGAATTGGTCAAATGTGCCTATATAGAAAAAAAATATGATCAGAAAATCAATGTGCCTAATAATTCTGCACGCAGTGTATATAAAAATGAAAACTGTATTTCTATTGAATCCAATTAGGGTCAATTTGACCCGCTCGAACAAGGCCGTACCCAGAAATCGAACAGTGTATGAGGGTTAAAGAACTTTTAAACCAAAAGAATAATAAAATACAATAAAAAAATAATTTTGACATGCCTTTTTATTTTCAGTATTTTACAACTTTAGAAGTATAAATATTTCTATAGTATACAACATCTATGACATCCATAGAGCTTTCTGTGGGTGATGTACAAAACTCAAAACCACATCTTATTGCACAGATCCTAAAAGACAATGATAAGCAGAGTCATCTACATAAACACTGTTTTCACACATAGAGAGAGGAAAGAAAACTCCAAGAAACAAGCAAGAACATACTGAACTGGAGAGACAACAAACAATTAGGCTACCACACCGACGGTCTTCAACAGCAAGTGTCCGCTAGGAGGAACTCACACACGCACACACACCCACGTCGATCACAGCATAACTGCCTGTGATGTAGCACATTAATTTGGCAAATAACACAAATGTACAAAATATACATCCATGAAGTAGTTGTAAACAAGCATTTAATGTGCTTCTTTAATTATTCAAACATTAATTTTCACGAAAGGAAGGGGGATAAAGAAAATAAATGATATTTGAGAACAGACAATGCATATGTCCTATAAAACATTCACATTTTATCATTATCATTAAAGTTAATATTATGTTATCCTCAAAATCCCAATAAGCGTTGTGTTTTTAATCTTAAGGTGCCTTGTATCTCTTCAGACCTCCTACACTACATTTGTAAAGTCTATGAGGAACAGAAACTTCAGTGTGCTAATATGGTTTAAAATCTCTACAATCAACTTCGAATTGGCTACTTTATTAGATTCTCTTTACATGGTGTATTCTGTTATTAAGGTAATTATGCACATTTGTGTGTCCAGCTCATATATGCTCTGTTTACATAAAACATTAATTGCAAATACTTCAATATCATACTGTAATATAGCCTAGATGTTTCACAATACAAGTATACTAAAATGGACCTAGATATACACTTGCTTTGCTTTAAGTTGGTACGTGAGCTACAGCAGGTTTAAAGTTAAGACCAAATATCAAAAGACACAATGATTCACCCACTCCTCTTTTCTGATGCTAACCTTCAGTGGTCACTATGCAACTGCCTAAAGATCAAATCAAGCGTGACTAATGACAAATATGCTTTTAAATGTTTGGTAATGAAGAAAACATAAAGAGAGCTTTGAAAAGTCTCCAAGGTAAAAGTAAAAGAAATGCACTTATCAGTTCTACTGCACGAGATGTTAATAGCACAAATGCATTTAGTCCCCATTTTTAAGGGTTTTGAATATGTTAGAAACTGATTGGACATTTTACCACAAGCCCTGACATACCACAATGTCATGTTGCTAAAGCACATTTGATTATCCCTGTATAAGCCCTTTTAACCAAACCAGGGGAAGTACATCATGTTCTTGTATGCCAAATGGGAAATGTTAGCCCTAAAAGCTTGACATTTTTCCTTTTTTGAAAAACAGAGTGTATATAATCTACATAGTAGCAAACCTTAATAATGGGGTAATCCTTTAGTTTCTGAAACTTGCCTTTTATATAATGTTCTGCATCTGCCTTGTCCCTTTTTTAACGTAAATGCATGACTTCAAGCGGCATCAAGTACGAACATTAAGAGAACAACTCTGCTGCGTCACTTAAAACACGCATCTGAAAATGCATGTGGTTAACCCCAACATTCCTCAGTGCACTTTGTTTCAGATTGAGACTATGATTATTCTGCTAGTTTAGACTCAATATCAGCGCAATTACTGAGCAGATGACATCACTAGCGACTAACATTGAGTACAGTATACAAACATATAACATAGCAAAATATATACATATAAAACATACAACACTCATTTTCAACTGACCGCTCTGTACAATTAATGCTGCTGTATTTACAATATATTGCATAAAAATTAATTCATAGAAATGCATGGGAAAGGAATGTGAATTTCACCATGACCTGCTAAGAACAGCAAGTCATATTTCCCCAAAAAACTCTAAGGCCCCTTCCACTACGATTCCAGAACCACAAGATGATTCCAATATAAAATAGTTCCAGGTGAGAAGCACAGGACATAGTGCATTCCCTCTGTGCACCACTACCCAAAACAAAACTTTGCTGATAAGGTCAACAAAAAACAAAAAACAAAAAAAAACACACAAACAAAACACAAAACAAAAAAAGTTCAGACAAAATATAGAAAATAAATTGTAGTGATCTGTTCAACTTGCAGAGTTGTAAGCCATATTAATAGCACCATTGCTACATATACTTTCCTAGTGGTTTTTAAATACATCAAAAACCAGTAAAATACATAACGCTAGCTTGAATGAGCGTGAAGCCTTTTTCTTTTTACACAGTCAGTTAACATGCACCTTCAGCTCTAAATTCAAGGTGCTTTTTGTTTGGTATAATTATACTCCATGATTGGCACAGTTAATTTAAGCCTTAAAAAAGGCATCCATACTCCGCCTCCACAGTTATTGCACACGCCACTTGTTACATCACACTGCAACACAACACAATGTCTACTTTTGGCGCTTTTGCAAGATCTAAAACGTGACCACAAATCAGCAGCAAAACATGTCAACATTCAGACTACACTTTTTTTTAGACATAATATTAACAAAGCATTATAGATCACAAAACAAACAAACAAATTAATTTCTCTGGTTTCTCATGAAAACCTAAAGTAACAGCTTTACCGGTCCTCAGATAGGAAGGCTTAAAGATATTACATATAGACAAGAATTAAGTTTACATCCTCGGTTCTTTTAAAATTCAAAACGCTTGGCAACTACAATACAATACATCACTTTTTACAAGTTGAACCACGTGGCGGATCCTTTGTTTGTTTAGAACGGACTGAATCTTTTTCAAGAGTAGTACTATCCTTAGCCAAAGGCATGCCTCTTGATGAGTCTTTACGATTATTTTTGGGTGCGGACAATACATCTTGAGTGGGTTCCTTTCTCTTCTTTTCTACTTGCTCTTTTCGGTTGGATGAAATCTGTTTGTCAGACACCTTTGACTCACTAGTGCCATGTTTAGGGTCAGGACTGGATATAGCAGTTATAGTCTTCCCTATGGGATCACTTGTGCTGGAACCCTTGAGAGACTCTGATCTTGGAACATCAATTCTGGACTTTACTTGTTCCTTTGAGGAAGGTCCAAATGTTTCAACTGCAGCAGTGCTGCCCTTACCAGAAGGAAGGCCACTAGACACATGTATTTTAACAGCGGGTACTGGCAACACTGGCACGGATCCACCTTGAGAACCAGTGCGGGTCTCTTTCTGAGGCTGGGATTTAGGCGTAGACAAGACTGACACTCTTAGATCCTTTGGATTTACTATGTTGTCCTTGACAATGGGCTGTAGCTGTGCTCTGTTTTCCTGCTTTCCCTTATCTTCAACAGCCTTCCCAATAGATTGTGTAACAAGTGGAGAGTCTACTCTGGGCTTGTTTTTGGAACTCAAAGGTGTCTGTTTTAATATAGCACTGCCAGACGGTTGCGTCTGTTTTATTGCAGTCAGTGCTGGACTTGTCTCTGTCGTGGACATGTCCATAACTTGCTTATCAACCTTCTGGGTGTCTATGCCAAGAACACTCTTGAATTTCTGCTTTTCTTCCGTTTTCATTGTGGATTGCACATGCACAGTGTCTTTTTTTGAAGTGTCAGAACTTCTAGTCTTTGGTGGGCTTGCACCTCTGTCCTTTGATGTAATATTCATGTTTACTTGGCTTCTGAAGATGGCTTCTTGCTTTTCACAGTTTTTTGAAACTTCAGCTCCGCCTGAAGAGTTAGGGTTAGGGACACAGGTAATCTTTTCAGTCACACTGCATTTGATGTCCTTTTTAAGGGCTATTTTATCACTCAAGTCCATTTTGTCTCCACATGCTGGCAGGGTTTTACGATCCTTTACCGTAAAATTTAATTGGCTACTTGCCTCCTTCGTATTTACCTTGTCTGCATGTTGATTTTTGTTTAAGGCCAGTTGAGACTGATGGGTTTGCACATTAAATTCTCTGCTACCACTTGACACATCGGAATTTTGTGCTGTGTCTGAGATTTGTTTGGAGAGTTGATCAGAATTACTTGCTGTTTGTCCATTTTTGGCACACGTCTGATCAGACTGTGGAGGTTGGATGGTGGTAGTTTTTACTTCAGCCAACCCAGAAAATTGCGGGGTGGTGATTGCACAGGCCTGGGATTTTGAATCAGTTGCATGCATGGTCTTCAGTGGGGTGGCAATTGTGGACGGAGTGGCTTTTCTTTGAAAGGTAGGCTTGGGAGACAATGAACTTTTAATAATAGGGGCCTCAGGTGTATCTGCTAGTGGTGAGACAGAAGACACATTGGATATTGTGACTGAAGAAGCTAAAGATAGACTCTGAGGGGTAGATACTGTTTCTTTCACACATATCTCGGATTTAGCCTGCCTTGAGTCAGCGGCTGAGGTTGGCGTACAACCAGTTCGGTCTCTGATTGCAGACTCTACGCTTTTGTCTAAACTTTTTACTCTGGTAGATAATTTGCTTTCCTTCAAATCTTGAAGACACTCTGGATTGAGGTCAGCAAAGTCTTTGGTGCTACCAGCCTTATTCTTTCTATCTATTAGAGTCTTGGTTGCAGCCAAGATTGAGCTTGATATCGCAACTGTGTTGTCTGTAACATCTTTCGATGGATGGATCTGTTTTATCACTGAGGTGTATGTTATATTGGCTGGTTTGTCATTATTTATGATATTCTTCTCAGTAGACAATGCTGAACTTGGAAAACTGGTTGGTGTCTCACTCAACCTACTATTATTTTTGCCAGAATGTGCTTCTTGGGTTTGCTGGACAGGGTTGAGTTGGGCAATAACAGCAGAAGACGCTAGGGACTTGTCAGGTTCATTGGCTTTAGTAAGGACTGGTTGCATCTGTTGAGTTTCATTTTGCTTTGGAGAGGTCTCCTCTATATTTTCTATGTCATCTTCCTGGTCTTCATTGCTGACTTCCCTGATGGAGGGCGTTTTCCCACATGCAAAGTGAGCGCTGTGTCGTGCAGCCCTCATCTCCTGAGCTGTCTTTAGCCTACTCTCAGATCTTACACTTGTGTCTATGGACTCTAGTTTACTGTTTGTAATCTGCAACTTCACTCCATCAACTTTATTTCTATCGTGCAGGGCCTCATTACAAGATGGATTTATTCTACAGTCCTTATTGGCAAAGGACTCTTCTTTTGCAATGGTTTTACTGCTCAAATACACATTGTCTTTATGGTTAAGTGTCCCGGGCATCCCTGCCTGTGGACCTTTCTGTTTTTCTGCGGTTTTCTGTTGAATTGGCTGTTTTACACATAGATCCTCTGCTAATAAAGCACTTTCACCATGACTTTCTGCCATTTTGGAAAGACATGTGTCAGTCTTGGATACACGAGGTCCAGATAGCAGACCAATGTCCAAGGTGCCCTCTAGTGGCTTTAAAGAGGAAACAAGCCGTCCCTCCAATTTGTACTCCGAGGAGGTCTTCCTGATAGGGCCATCAGAAGCGATCATCTGAAGTTTTTCTACCGCACTCTCCCCTCTCCCACTAAAATGCTTAGGGGTCAAAGTTTCAGAAGTGCCATGGATGTTACACATGCCCCCTTTAACATGTTCTAAAGCCAACGCAGAATCCAGCTGAAGACTTTTGGACCGAGTGGTGCTGAAATGAATGCTTTCATGAACACCAGAAGATATTCGACACAAGGAGTCCTCCCTCTCCTCAAAGGACTGCCTCTTCCTGGCAAACTCCATGTTAGAGGCTTTGAAATCTAACCTCTCTGGTTTATTACCTTCCTTCATTGACCAAGACATTTGTCGCTCTGACTGACATGGTGACCTCATATTCTCACTTAAAAGTGATACACAGTCCCCACTGGTGACAGACTCTGCTATGCTCTCACAGACTCTTGGGTTTAGTTTTTTGTAGAGAACATCCTTTAAAGTAGCATTTGTAGACTTGTCCAAGCATCCAGATTCGGAAACCTGGGTTCTCGCACTGGGACGTGTTAGGACACCCCAGTCCTTTTCTTCAGCAGCAGCACCTTCCACATCTTGTATGATGTCTTGTTTTTGAGTAGACTCCCGTCTCTCAGCCCAGTCCTGCCTCTTTACCACCACTTTGGCCTTCAGCTTCTCCCTATCTAGCTCCTCTACTGACTCCTGTCGGCCAACTTTACGAGTGACAGCCCGCTTTAGGCAACCCTGCTCAGCAGGTCTCACCCGAGTAATGGTGGGTGGCTCACAAGAAGTACTGTCCTCTATGCATGGTGGGGTATACTCCCCTCTAGAGGAGGCCTCCCCTTGAGACTCCTCTTGGGTGACCTCCAAACTGTGCTTTCGGGTGCATAAATGTTTTTTGTCACCAGCATAAGAAGGGGAGAGCTTCTCCTCGGATTGGACTCGCTTCAGGAGTGGAGACCGAGGAGGCTCTGCGCTTTTCGGTCGTACCATATGGCGTACAATAGTGGGGGGTGAGTGCATTTTGGTAGGGAAGGCCTGAGAAGATTTGGAGCTTCCCACAGTGTGAGTCAGCAAGGGAGATGGGGACCGCTGAGGAGAGGTTGGCTGAGGCTGAGGGGTAGGGGAGGGTGTGCGAGCTAATGGTGAGAGGGGAATGCTCCCTGCTGATTTACGTCGGCCCTGACGGAGCCGTCCAGGTAGTTTGGGACCCAGGCCATGCAGAGTGCTGGGTCGGATGTGGCCAGAGCCTGCAGGTGAGTTAGGTGCACTGGAACTGGGGGAGCTACTCTGTGATGAAGTTCCACCTATAACAAAGAGTGGAAAGCTAACATATAAAGATAATACACAGTGCCAACATTCTTTTTTTTAAATGACTTTTAATCCCAATATAATTCCACACTGAACTTAACAGTAAATGCAGAGCACTAAAGCAGCAAATACCTCCCTTGATGTGATATGAAACATAATATTAAAATTCTGTAAAAGTTATTTTTACAGAAAAACTGTCTAGGCAATGCAAGACACAAACCTGACTGGCTGAAGTCAGGTGTTGCACGAAAGGCAGCTGTTGGGGAGCGTGGTGAGAGGCTGTGTGTGGGAGATCCAGGCAGACTCTCTCCTGAAGACAGAGAGCGGTTCAGCGAGGAGAAACTGCGACTGGTGTGTAAAAGTGGAGAGGGCTGCATGGCAAAGCGTTTGAATACAGAACGCCGCCTGGAGAGGAAAAAAGCTTGACTGAAAAAACAATTGGAATATTCAGAATGACATTTTGCAGTATACAATATGTATACATTTGCAAGAATGTACAGTATATATTGAAAGCACACTCAATGGAATACTATATCTCATAATGCAATGGACTAAGAAATATCAAAAGTTATTTAATTTTTTATTTTTACAAAAAAAAAATCCAAATAACAATTTCGTTGCAAGAAGAATGATACAGAATTACACTTGCCAATACTAAGGTCATTTGACAATATATTTTTTAACATAACATTTGAAAAACAACTGAAATGGTTATAATTACATATTGCCTACGGTTTAAAAAAACATCAAAACTATTGCATTGTATGCAGTAGCTAGTAAGTACACTAGTTTTCCATTCTAAGCAGTCAATGAGTGTACATTACAAAAAAATTGCAACAACAGCTCCATCTATTGGCAGCGGGGGGATCTTGCTACTGGTGTGTAGGTAGCTTATCCAAATTTATGTGATTATGTAAACAGACAATTGTAAAACCTAAAATAGATGAGAATATTGATATTCCTGTTTTCCTACCTTTCTTGGGTTTTCTCTTTCTTGGGTTTCTTGGTTCTTCTCACCATTTTGCTTCTGTAACTATTTCTTCGAGCTGGACCAGTTTTGATAGAAGTGTTTTCAAAAGGGGTCGTGGATATAGCTACTTTACTTCCACTCTACAAAACAAAATGTAAGTGTCACTTACAGAAATACTGTTACACAAAGTGAAAAAATAACCAGTGAAAATAGTGTTGTGGTTGTAACATCAATTGGTTTTTGCACCTTCAGCAGTAGTTCCACCACCTCAGTGTGAAGCAGCCCGTGAACTGTTTCTCCATTCACATGAGTGATCAGGTCTCCAGCCTTAAGACCAGCCATGTGAGCAGGACCACCATCCTCTAAATTCTATTCCCCCCAAAAAAAGAAAAAAAGTCTTAATTATGTGTAATGCAGTAAAATGAGAAATGAAAAACCTTTGCCATGTTAATTTCTTTTTGCCCTAACAAGCCACAACCTCAAGTAAGAATACATGTTGTCAGCTGTTTGGTTTTTTATTGAGATGCCGCCCACACTTACCCAGACCATGTGATAAACCGTATAAACATCACTGTCACAGGCGTAGACCCGAATCGCTCGCAGAGTGAAGCCAAACTTCTTCCCTGAGCTGTGGATGATGATTGGCTGACGACTGCTGACACTGCTAAGTGGAGAATCTCGGCTGGGGGAGGAGTCTCTAGAGGATGGGTCTGATGACAGTGAGTATGGAGAAATGGGGCTTGCTAATGGTGACACACCAAAAACATCTGGGGGAACAAGAGAGGCCAAATCATACATTAATAACTCAATAAATAAACTGGCACTGTGTATAAACAAGTAACCACCTTTCTTTTATTGAAGACTGAACAGTGGACTTGTTAAGTTAACTTTACTATACATTAGCATAAAGTGCAGCACATAGATGAAATTTATTTCATTCAATAAGATATAAAGGTTAACCTACACTATTGGTAAGATTTTATTCAATAATTTTGAAAGAAGTCTCTTATTCTCACCAAGGCTGCATTTATTCGATCAAAAATAAAGTAAAAACAATAATTTTGCGAAATATTTTTTCAATTTAAAATTACTAAAATGTAATTTACTCTTGTGATGGCAACACTGAACGTTAGAGAGTGGCCTTTTATTGTGGCCAGGATAAGGCACACCTGTGCAATAATCTTGCATAATCAGCATCTTGATATACCACACCTGTGAGGTGGGTGGATTATCTCGGCAAAGGAGAAGTGCTCACTAACACAGATTTGGACAGATTTGTGTACAATATTTGAGAGAAATAGGCCTTTTGTGTCCAGTACATAGAAAAAGTCTTAGATCTTTGAGTTCAGCTCATGAAAAATGGGGGTAAAAACAAGTGTGTTGCGTTTATAATTTTGTTCAGTGTACACATCAACACAACACATGTTCTTCCAGCATGCACATACACTCACCTCCAGGGATCATGAGTGACAGGGCACTGGTAGATACTGATTTTGGCACTTTGCTGACTGCAAACGGTTTGTCCGCTGTCTCAGGTTTGGAAGCAGTCAGGAAGGAGCCTGTGTCTGAGGAGGGCTTACAGGAGCTGTCCAGACTCTCCCCTCCACCTCCCTGTGACGGCATCTGATCCAGGTGCTCGGAGAAACTGCCTACTCAAAAAAATAAAAGGTTAAGTAGAAAAAATATACTAAACAGACCAGACTCTATTTCCAGAGCATTCCCACTAATTTTGCAGAATTTGTTAATCTGATCTCAAATTCATTTACACAACAATGGCGTTTTGGGGTCCTGAAGATGCAAACTTTTGAAACCGGTACAGTTATTGTCTGCATATAAACTACAAAAAAAATTATGTCATGCACATGCGTATTACGTGTTCAGTCTATAGGCGCGTAGTGCTTAAATTGACAGCCAACTACTGGGCAGGCAGAATAATACAGCGTATTGAATTGTTTTCATGGATCCGTCTGAATCGGGATCGTTTTTAAAAACGTTGTGGTCTGTACATGAAAAATGCTGTTTTTAGTACATCATTGTTGTGAAACAGGGCCCTAAGTGTAGTAATTATAATACAATTTACTTATTATTTCCCTTTGAATATTTTTTACACGTTCCTTTGACCTAATCAAAACCCAGTAGATATTATTGAAGCTATCAATTTGATCACAAACAAATCACATTGTTTCAGGTCAACTGGGGGTCAATTGCGGCATATCAAAAACTCAATGTAATTTAAAAAACAAAAAAATCCACATAAAATACAGTCTCTTGAGACCCCAGACTAAATTTAATATTTGGTAACACTTCCTTTTGATGGTCCATTTAGACATTCTACTAAGTAACTTTGCAACTGCATGTCAACTACCAGTCATTAGAGTATTAGTAGGCTGTCTACTTAATATCTGCAAAAACTTTATTTTGATAGTCCCACAACAGACATTCTACTGACTTTACCTAACTTTGTGAGTACATGCCAACTTATTCTACTAACCTGAACTCTAACACCTAACAGTCTACTATAGTCTGCTATACTCTAATGAGTGTTAATTGACATGTATTTGCAAAGTTACTTATAGTCAGTAGAATGTCTAAAGTGGACCATTTAAATAAAGTGCAACAACATTTTTTTGTGCAGCAAGTTTGATGCATACAGTATACAGCCCCATCTCCCATAAATCCCCCCTGTACCTGAGAGGGTGGAGTTACTGATGGTGCTACAGGGTGTGGTGGGATCAGGCTCATCCTGAGGCAACTCCCCAATACTGAAGGTCACTTTACTGGGGTCTTCCAGAGACAGGGAGCCCTCACCATCCTCCACTTCTGCTGAGATGGCAAACTTAGGGAGAAGACCAGAGCATCTGCTCAAGCTGGTGCTCTCAGTGTCAGAAGAATGAGAGAGAGAGGGGCTGGAGAAGAAAAACAAGAAAAACCTAAATGATCCACCTGGAAAAATCACATTCTACAAACTTATGGTGGTTTCAAGAACATGGTAGCTGGTTTGTTGCATATTAAATGTTAATGTCAAAATAAAATATTGCATAGTTTATAAAAATATAATATAAACTATGCATATATTCTATGATGAGGATGAGGTCTTAATTTCAGATTTTTCACATTGAGTAAGGTCTGAGCCTTTTTATGGAAAGGGTTTGTGGGTAACATACATCTCAGTGAAGTCTGGAGTCCAGCTCAGTGAGTCAACAGTGAGAGGACTGTCTGTTGTCTTCTCTGTCTGTTCTCCTTTCTCCTCCAGCTGTCCTCGAGACAGATCCAGACTACTATACACCTACCACACACACAACACACAAACAAACAGCATATATAAGCACCAATAGACTCCATTAGATCTCTGAGTAAACATAGGCATGAGACAATAATACTAAATCCTGAAGCACATTAATTTAAATGTAACTTGAAATGTTCCTGTTGGTTTCTAGGTTACTGCTAGGTTGTTCCTAGGGTGTTCTGGGTCATTGCTAGATGGATTACTTTCACAAGCCACATTGGTGGCTAATTCATACGAATTTGTACAATCTAGTTTTGTCCGATCTTCTCACACCCGACTGAGGGTTATGCTTCGTGCTTACTTTTGCATACAAATCACATTGTACAAATTTAGTACACAACAGTCAATTCATAAAATGGCAATCACCAATCACCCCTAATTATCAGAAGCCTGAAATGCATGACAAAGTATGTTCTTTAAAATTTAAATAAAATTTTACATTTCAAAACCATCTCACTATTTAAAATCTGTCTAATACAGTGGTTCTTAACGAGGGGGCCGGGACCCACTAGGGGGCCTAAACCTCAGAGGGAGGATGAATTAAAATTATTCAAAATATATATATATTAATACGATATAAATAATATAACCAACCACTGGTCTAACACTATAAAACACAGCCTTCACCAGATATCTTCACTGCAAGCATGATAGATTCTGGAAGCAACTCATACTGCAATGCACCAAAGCCCTGCATGCCCGAGAACAAGAATGTGCATGAGTATTTGTTGTGTGTGATATTGTTCCCTGACCTACAAAAATATATCCCTATATCAAATGCAAATATATGTAAATCTATGAGCTGAGCTTTATCCCAGAGACAGTGTTTGCCACATCGTTAGACGTCTTTATTAAAACTTGCAAAATGCAAACACATAATGCATCCACCGAACAGGACTCTTCTCAGCTGAATCCTTCACTGCATGAATTAAACAAGTGTATGTGAGGAAAGAGAGAGAGAGAGAGAGGGAGAGAGAGAACTCACTTTGGAGAATCGGTGCGAAGATGAGGAAAACTGCCGCAGTTCCACATTGAAATCTTCGTCATTGGTATCGTCCTCCTCCTCAGTTTCTAAGTGATGGTACCTATCAGATCGTGCTGCGATTGAAAAAAATATATATGTCACATTGGGCTGTGATGTTAGGATGCTCTCATGCCAGTTATTTTAAGACATTATTCTACATTTTAAAGTGAAGTTCACTGAAAAATGAACATTCTGTCATCAAGCATTGTCATGAATAATACAATACACAAAACAACTTCTGAAGGAGAAGAAACAGCATGTTTACCTAAATCTATATTTATTTCATAACATGCAAACAATTTGACAATGAAGAGTCCCAAAGCACTAAGCTAGAGCAAATTATTGAAATTTCTCCAAACAAATGACCACGAATCATATCATCAACCAACTGTGCTTTACTAATATGTGAGCAATCTATCAGTTTGGGAACATCTGATCCTCTCTTAAGACATAAAAAACAGACACCCTGCTCTGCCTGCATGGACCATGAAGGACAATGACTTCACTCCTGCTGTCACTCACTGTCAAAGTAGCTAGTGTCATCCTCAGACTCCAGCTGGGGGATGAACTCTGCCTTCTGCCTCAGCAGGCTGTTCCAGTCCAGACTGTGAAAGAACTGGTGGTGCTTGACCTCATACGCCCCACCTGCTTAAAGATATACATCCAATCAAATTGAAGAAAAACTTAACATGAACGATGAAGCAACAGCCAATACATTCTATTACTACAGTATGTCTACTTTGGGTATTACATTTAAAAAAAAATAATAATAATTAGTTGTGATTTTGTTGCATTTCACAGCTACAGTTTCACTTCCAGTGATGCCAGAAACATGCCACTGGAATCTTTTTGTGTCACCAGAAATTTTTATGTGCACAAAATTGTCTAAACTCTCACTGATAAAGCGTTATTGCGGTGTGCGCTTTTAGCATTTTTTAGATGACATATGGAAAAAATGAAATGTACTTGAAGGTCAATTAAAACTGCTGGATTTAGCTTTTTTATATGGGTGGGTGCATATAAGCAATATCAAAGAGATTATGGATTATGCCTGTGACTGAACTGTAAGTGAAACGACAAATATAATGAATATAATATAATGGCCAAATGGCATATATTATTAAGGGACAAACAAGAAATAATTATATGTAAATTCAAATTGTGTTTCTTTATTAATTTTGTTTTGGAATATTCATTTATTTTGAATGTTTTTACATGGCATTTAACCATGCAACACAAAAATATCTAAAATACCTTAATGGCCAATTAGACATATTATTTACTTGCCAAAAGCAATTTTTACTCACTTTTGGTGCTTGGCAAGTATTGTTGCAAGTATTTTGTACCCTTACCAGTGCCGAGGCGCTCCAGAGGGTTCTGTCTGAGCAGTAGGGTGATCAGCTCCTGAGAATCAGCTGGTGGAGCTTCCTCTCCCTCCGGCCAGTTTATTTCATCTAAGACAAGAAGCAAACAGTTTCATCCTCATTGACTAAATGGAACAAAACCAAAAAAATCATTACTTTTCATTCAACATGAAAGCTCATCTCTGTTTTTATGGGACTCCACTGCTACACAGAACCTTTCACTCATGCACAGCACCAGACTAATGAATACAGAGAATATATTTACATCTGAATGAAACGCGATTATTAAAATGCATAAAAATGCCTACTAAATATAAACAGGCATACATAAAACATCCTAATATTCACTTTAACATGCATCAATTCTAGGAAAGTGCATGAATTTCCAGTATTCATTAGTTATCTGGCATTTTACACTAATCAAAGACCAGGCCCTTGACACAATTGTAATCAACCAAGTTAAAAAAGAAAAAAGAAAAGAAAACTGAGCTTAAAGGCCAGGGGGGTGATATAAATGAAGAGCTGTACTTTGTTTATTTTCCAACTGTCTCTACAGCAACATGTGCCTCACTTTTGAATCACATTAAGAAGCATTAATATGCATCCAAGCCCAGAGCAACAGCAGCTAGCTGTGCTCATTAATTAAGCCTCACACCCACGGTAACCCTTATAACAAAAAACTAACACTAATGGTACGGATGGTATCAGAAACATATGGTGGTTGTTTCAAGATATTTGGCTTAAATGGATAATGAAAGAATCCACATAAACATTTTGGCAGTTTACATTTTTAAGTCCAAATTAAGGACAGAGCAAATATACTGGATTGGAACAAATCTTATGGTTACAAATGATTGAAAGTGTATTATAACAATATATTCTTCAAATGGCTTTTTCATACAGATAATATCTTCATAAATCTCTTGGAAACAAAACATTATATAAACCTATACACTACCAGTCAAAAGTTTGGAATTAAGATTTTTGGTAACACAACTTTAATGGTCCACTATAGATTTTACTGACTATAAGTAACTTTGCAATTACAAGTCAACTAACTATCATTAGGGTATTAGTAGACTGTCTGCTTAATATTTGCTAACACTTTATGTTGATGGTCCCCCAACAGATATTCTCCTGTAACATTCTACTAACCCGAACGCTAACACCTAACCCTAACCTAACCCAACAGTCTACTACAGTCTATTAATTCTTTAATGAGATTTAGTTGACATGCATTTGCAAAGTTACTTATAGTTAGTAGAGTGTCTAAAGTGGACCATCAAAATAAAGTGTAACCAGATTTTTTTAATGTTTTTGAAAGAAGTATATTATGCTCACCTAGGCTGCATTTATGGCTGCATTTATTTGATAAAAAAATACAGCAAAAATAAAAAAAATTCTGAAACATTATTACATTTTAAAATAACTGTTTTCTAATTTAATATATATTAAAATGTAATTAATTCATGTGATGGTATTAATATGGATAGCCATTACTCTAGTCTTCAGTGTCACATGATCCTTCAGAAATCATTCTAAAATGCTAATTAGATCTCACTGACATCAAAAAGTACATTATATATTGTACTTCTATAGTATACCATAAACCTTATTAAAACAATACTCATCTACCACTATTAGGTACACCTGTTCAACTTCCTGTTAACGCAATCACATGGAAGCAACTCAATGCAGACCTGTTCAAGACGAACTGCTGAAGTTCAAACTGAGCATCAGAATGGACAAGAAAGGTGATTTAAGTGCCTCTGAAGGTGGCATGGTTGTAAGTGCCAGAAGGGCTGGTCTGAGTATTTCAGAAACTGGTGATCTACTGGGATTTTCATGCACAACGATCTCTAGGGTTCACAGAGAATGGTCAGAAAAAGAAAATATCCAGTGAGGGCAATTCTGTGGCTGAAAATGCCTTGTTGATGCCAGAGGTCAGAGGAGAATGGCCAGACTGGTTCGAGCTGATAGAAAGGCAACAGTAACTGAAATAATCACTTGTTACAACCAAGGTCTGCAGAAGAGCATCTCTGAACGCACAATACGTCGAACCTTGAAGCAGATGGGCTAAAGCAGCAGAAGACATACTGGGTTCCACCGGGAACAGCAAACTAAGGTTACAATTCGCATGGGCTCACCAAAATTGGACAATATAAGACTGTAAAAATGTTGCCTGGTCTGATGAGTCTCAATTCCTGTGATATTCAGATGTTAAGGTCAGAATTTGGTGTAAACAATATGAAAGCATGGATCCATCCTGCCTCGTATCAGCGGTTCAGGCTGCTGGTGGTGGTGTAATGGTGTAGGGAACTTTTTTTTTTTGGCACACTTTGGGCCCCTTAGTACCAATTGAGCATCATTTAAAACCCACAGGCTACCTGAGTATTGTTGCTGACCATGTCCATCTCTTTATGACCACAATCTTCTAATGGCTTTTTTCGACAGGAAAACATGTCATGTCACAAGGCTCAAATAATCTCAAACTGGTTTCTTGAAAATGACAAGGAGTTCACTATACTCAAATGGCCTTCACAGTCACATATCTTAATCCAATAGAGCGCTTTTGGGATGTGGTGGAATGGGAGATTCAAATCATGGATGTGCAGATGACAAATCTGCAGCAACTGTGTGATGCTATCATGTCAATATGGACCAACATCTCTGAGGAATGTTTCCAGCACCTCGTTGAATCTATACCATGAAGAATTAAGGCAGTTCTGAAGGCAAAAGAGGGTCCAACCCAATAACAGTAAGGTGTACCTAATAAAGTGGCCGGTGAGTGTATGTATTGAACTATAATGTTAAGGGTTTGTTTTTTGGATGAGGGTGAATTGGAAAAACATTTTTGGCAGAGTCCTGAGGATGTTATTTTGATATTTCAAACTATACTGTATGTAACTATGCTAAAACAAGTGGCTGTGTTCTATTATTGCGGTCTGTAGGACAGGGCTGTTGTTTCAACAAACAAACATTCAACAAACATTGTTGTTTAAGTCTAAAATATTTATTTTGTATCATGGTACACTTAATTTATGTGGCAATGTTAAATACTGAATTGCAGCTTAAATTATCATTTTATTCGAAAACTCACAATTTGCTTCTTTTTATATAAAATAGAATCAAATGTGGTTTAATTTGCATAAGACCGCAATGAACAAATCCAGAGAGATCCAGGTTTACAGAATGACAGGTGGAGGATAAGAACAGGAGACTGTCATGTCTGCGGGGTCTTTTGCTGATCCTATGAGATACTGATTTAGCATTAATGAGAAGCAAAATTGAGACAACGCAACACAACCTGCACCTGCTAAAGCTCTTGCTGCATGAAGCTAGAATGTATTGCATAACAGGAATTCAGAATGTGACTGACCGCTGATGACCTGGCCGAACAGCTCTTCTGGAGTGTCTCCAAAGAATGGTACACAGCCCACCAGAAACTCATAAAGGATGATGCCCATTGCCCACCAATCCACAGGCTTCCCATAGCCTTGCCTCAGGATCACTTCTGGAGCAATGTATTCAGGAGTCCCACACACCTATAGAGAGAAATGTTTGCAGATGTTACAACCCAGAGAAAACTTGCATAAACTGCTTAGACTAATCTTACAAGTAAGTCATCTATTTTTTTACTTTAAGATTGGTCATAGCTTTTTAATCATTTACACAAAAATGTAGACCAGTCTCACATTTCAGATTTGAATTGAATTGATTTGAATTGAACACCTTGGTTAACTGCTAGTTGGTCAGACTAAAGACACAGTGGCTGTGTTAATGCAACTGGTCCCAAATCTTTAGAGCAGATATCAATCATAAAGGTTATGACAATGACTATGCGATTTCAAATGAAATATCAAGTCCTCAGGACTTCCATAGAGAACTGGATCTGTACCTGTTTATCAGAGAACTCTCTAGCATCCTTCTCGATGTGACCCTCATAGAGGTTAGTGGTCATGTTCATCAGACCAACTTTCGATAGGCCAAAGTCTGTCAGCTTGATGTGTCCCATTGAAGTGACCAACAAACTGTCGTAATGTTATAACACGGGAGACAATACAACAAATAATTAGTAATGTATTAGCATTATCAGAGCAAAACCCTGCTGGAAAAAAACCTGTTCATATCAGCTTAGGATGCCAAGAACTTGATAGCTGATTTGTTGCCAGTCCAATGTGGCCTACATGCTCTAACTAGCTTAAAGATGGTTTTCCAGTTTGAAACCAGGTCCACTGGCTGCTTGTACCAGCTAACAGGATCTGACCAACTCAAAAGTACTTTAAATCAGCTACCGGATTCTGGTTTTAGTTGGGGTTTTTTTAGCAGGGAATGGTGCATGTTACATTTTTGAGCAGCTCACTTGTCTGGTTTGAGATCTCGATGGACGATTCCATAGTTGTGAAGATATTCCAGGGCTAACACAGTCTCAGCAAAGTACATTCTGGCCATGTCCACAGGGAGAGGACCCATATTCTTAAGCAATGTAGCACAATCCCCTCCTGTCGGGATAGGAAATGTACAAATGAATGCTGCAAAGAACTCTGGCTTGGCTCCTTCAAACTGTGTACATTTTATATCAACGTGAGTGCTAATGGTATTTTGCATAGAGCACATGTTGCATAAATATATTACATATGTTTGCTTATTTGAAAGTCAAATTTATTTGTTGGTTCATGGGAAAGCACTTTGTACAAAACACTTTTTATTTTACTTCCCAAATTTTTTTTTTTTTTATTGATAATGCTTTTATACAAAGGAATGCTACTTATTGAATTAACTATAATGCTGAAGTTACTTTTTTGAAAAAAACAATGAAAAAGAAAAGTTAATTACTTTTCTATTAAATTTATTTATATCATTGTGTGTAAATACTTTAACAAATGAGATTATAGAAATGTCAGGCTGGTCTAAGACGTAGCAGGTGGTTCCCAAATGTTAAATATAGTTCCATTACTATTACCAGGTCATTTTATTTATTGGTGCCTGGTCACCCTGCATCCCGGTTAACATGTTCCGCTCACAAAACATAACCATGTAATGTACTTTTTAACTTTTATTAGGAGTAACAGAATAATGAAACTATTTTCAAAAGTAACAATCTCCAGCACTGCAAATGATGTGCATGTGTTACAGCTTACCTTCAACATACTCCATAACCATGCATAGATGTCTGCGTGTCTCAAAGGAGCAGTACATGCTGACCACAAAAGGGTTTTCAGCAAAAGTCAGGATGTCTCTCTCCACAAAGGCCTGCTGGATCTGGTTCCTGAGCATCAGGTTCTGCTTGTTGATCTTCTTCATGGCAAAGCGTTGTTTTGTCTCTTTGTGTCTCACTAAATACACCGCACTGTGAAGAAAAAAACAACATTATTGGATTAAATTAGCAGGCATGTGTATGACAATTTAACAGGCATGTGTATGACAATTTAACACACAGTAACAAGCATAACAGAGAAAACTAATTTAAAGGACTATGCTTTGAAAGGATTATTATGAATTTGCATACTGTGCTGTACTGCAAATCATTTTTAAAAAATAGGATGTGAAACAATATGTAGTATACAGTGCTAAACATTTAACCTAATAATTCGCTGTCACTTACCCATAAGCCCCATTACTGATCAGTTTGATCATCTCAAAGTCGAGCTCACAGGGTTTGCGCCGGGACCGTAGTGCTGCGCTCAAACTGTGGGACTAGATATATATGTGTTATGTAGACTTTTGATAGCAAATGAATCAGAATTCTCAAACTGTAAAAATAGTTGTATATTTCTTCCTTCCATTTGATTGTATTCTAGAAAATGAGGTAACGCTTTATTTTACAGTGTCCTTGTTACACGTTACATGTAGTTAACGTAGTAATAACTATAAATTACATATATAATTACAAGCAAACCAAACAAAAAACTAAACCTAAATCCTAACCCTATAGTAAGTACATGCAGTTAATTAATATTACTCAGTACTTAAAATGTATAAATTACGCTGTAACAAGGACACCTTGAAGTGTAACCAATTTCTCTTACAGTATATCATAGTTGGTTATCTGTTTTATATTCAATGAATTTCTTAATAACAATTATCATTACAGTAGTTGACTAGTTTGCTGTCTTGGGTAATGTGTTTAGATAAAAGTACTTACACTGACAGACTCGTCCGTCTCAGGGGTTTCTGCAATCCCACTGTCGTAGCTAGTTAACTGGGCAATTTCTGAAAGACAATGACAAATAATTAGATGCTGGACTAATTTTAAGAAGTGGTTCTCAACCTTTTTCACCCCAAGGCCCCCCTCCTCTCCAAATCGATATTACAAAAAGGTGCTTCAGGGGTCAATATATTATTATTATTATTATTATTAAATCATTGAACAAAATATTTTGACAACAGTAGAGCTGATTCAAGAAAGCTTTTTTTTCACTGTATATATTTGTGAGACAGTCTTCTGTGCAAAATGTTTTTCCATTATTTCAAGGACAACATTAGTGCATAATTTAGCGGGAACATTTCTGACCCCGAATGACTAAAAAGAAAGTCAAAACAAAAGTCACTTTTTCCAAAAGAGTAACTTGGTAGAGCTGACTGCTGAGGTTTGTAAATGAAATGAGTTAAATGGTGTGGAAATCAACAATCAAATCTACACACATCATGAAACATTTACGCTAAAAAACTGCCACTCTAAACAAATCCCAGTGATGCAGTTCTCAGGAGTCTACAAAAGTAACCGATGAACAGCAGGAGGTAATGAACTGGAGGGTCGTTCATCTGTCTCTAAAGAGAACTAAGCCCATCAGAAAGCCCTAACAACAGCTGCCTATCTCCATTTCCAACCATCACACTAAATGATTTGGATGTTCTCAGAGGATTAGAAAGCCTTGGAGGGCTTTGTAACCAACACTGCTTTGGCAGAGTTGGCAAGACAGAGGCATCAAGGTCTATGGGCATATGCTGTTCTCATTAACAATAATGATAGTCTTGAGTACAAATTCAGAGATTTGTGACAGAATGTTGTGTCCGTAAAAGGCTTTCAGCTAACATTACAAGAAATAAAACCCAAAAGAAAGGATACAAATCATATTTTCTGCACGTAGGCTCCTGACGTTGAACATATAAAATGCATAGATACAGAACTTAAGATTGTGAGCTGTAAAAGTAAAACCTTTAAAGCCTCATGGTGTGACCTGGTGTGAAGTTCGAGGGCAAATAAATGTGAAATGAATGAGATCACAATAAACTGGTGTACAACAAATCAGTAGCCCTTTTGAACAATTGTGCTGCAGTGAAAAGTGTAATATAACACCAAAGTAGTAGAAAATGTGTGCACAATTTTTATTTGTCCAAAAGTAAGTGCATAAAATGTATTTATCCTGATTTATGACTTTTCATGATTTATTTTACAACACCAGACCATAAAAAGCAGAATGCAGGTCTCAATCCAATTGAGAATTTACTAGTGGACCTGAAAATGATTTCTATTCTATTGAATGCTGATTAGAAGGGGTAAATATTTAGGCAAATGATTATTTTGTATTTAATAATTAATAAATTGACCAATTTGTAGATTTTGTTTCATTTTGTCATGAAACAATATTTTCTGTTGATCAGTGAAGAAAAAAAAAAGACAAATTATATCATCTGTGGTTCAATGTTGTTAAACAATAAAACATGAAAAATCCAAACAGAGTGAAAATCTTATCTTATTAAAAGTTTTGATGCAAACAGGAAAATTCAGCAACTAGTTCTTAAAGGTGCAATGTGTACAAATTTTGAGTATCTATTAACAGAAATGCAATATGACATCCATAACTATGTTTTCAGTGGTGTATAAAGAACTTAATAAACCGTAATGTTTTTATTACCTTAGAATGAGACATTTATATCTACATAACCGCGGGCACCCCCTTTTATGAAGGTCGACATATTGTGACGTCATGTTTCTACCGTAGCCGACAGCGAACAAACAGCGCTACAGAGAACGTTTCGTCACTACCTTGAAAGAGAAGCCGCAGAAAGCTAGAAGCTAGCCATAAACACCGTGAGTAGTGACTTTTCCCTTGTCAGTGGTGTAAAATATGTAGTTGGATTGTTTCATGTAACTTCGTTCTTCTCCCTAGCTGCGTTATGGCTTTGTTATGTGGGGATAAACGTGCTGGTTACGTTCGTGAGACAGCTGACTCTTGTCATTGACCGTAAAACAGTATGTTACAGGAATCACCAACCCGTCGATCTTGGAAGCATTTTAAGTCGATCGCGAAGAGTTTTCAAGAGTTTTTTGCGTCGCACAGTAAAGAACTTATCTGAAGCAGCAGAAAGGAGCAGCAACTGGCTGTGGTTGAGACGGAAAGATTCTAGCTGGCTGTGTACAGGCCGCCACGCTACGGTTTCGTAGAAATCTTGAAAAACTTGAAGAGTCTGTTGGTTTATTTGTATAGGTTGTATAGTATTTACAGTCATTACGTTCCTCTGTATTTTGCGTGAATGACGGGTGGTTGGGCAGATATTGTGTTTTGCGGTAGGTGGTATGCCATACGGAACCGTTGCCACTGAAACTGCATTAACGCACCAGTGGGGCTCGACGGCCTTAGTCAAACGGGTTGGCGCGTATGGTTGGGTTGCGGAGAGATTGTGGTTAGGTCTCAGCAGCAGGAGGGATGTAGAGGTCAGTAAGCTGGGCTGAGTTGAGTGGGGGACGGAGGGGGGTGACTCTGGGACGCCAGAGTCACTGTCGAGCCCTCTTGAGGTGTCGTGGGCTAGTCGACGAAACACTGAGGACGGAAGGTGCCCACTTGAAGACCCTAGAGATGTCCCCTACTCGGCTCAATCCAGACGTTGTCGTGCTGGTCCACTAGGGAGACCACACTGTAGCTGCAGCCGTCGTGTGTGCTGACGCGCCAAGTACACTGCAGCCGTTAATGCTGGACAGAAGGGGAGTCACACCACCATATGGAAAGAAGCGTAAATGGATGGAGAAGCATAGTTTACTGTAAAGCTACGTCTTAGTGTTGCTTATCTTGGCGAAAGCCGAGTACAAATCAGCATGAAGTTTTAACATCTACTCTCGTGTAATGGAAATCAAAATCAGAGAAAAAAGCCTATTGTGTGTAGTAAATGGTGTCTAGGGGACGGAGGCGCGCGCGCTGTTACAATCATGTCATTTTTGCCGCGCGCACCTTTGGGCTCATGCGGACGTGTCGAGTTTAAACAAGGCTTTACGCTTTAACCAGCTGTTTGTGAACTGCCCATTGATGCACCCAGACTACTGGAAACCAATGTATTGAGGTCCTCTTACCCTCAAGTGGGTCCCTTGTCAGGCCAAGTTGGCTGATAATGTATCGTGGGATATCGGTCTTGATGCCTTGGCCCTCTTTAGCATGACCCTCTGCAGCCTCCAGGAGATGATAGAACTCTTCAGGGTCAAACTCCTACAAGACAGAAAGTATTTATCTTTAACACAAGACTTTGACCAGACTGTACAAGTAGATTCTCACTTCTTAAATAATATAGATCAAGTTGTAACAAATGTTTGGCAAACATCTGAAAATGTACTAAAGCAACATTCTGAAGCACATCACAGCAGAAGTCACAAGGCTGATTGAGCCAGACCATATTACTGTTGAGCAACTCTTGTAGACAACCTACCAGACATTCAAGGAGTCGCGCAGGCCTGGCAATGACGATGAGAATCTTCTTTACCAGCTCCTTGATGAAGGTCACCTCTGCACTCTCTGATCGCTCAGTCGACTGCATTACAATAACAGAGCACATCACAAGTGGTCATCAATATGCATGCATCATTGAACGCATTGATCAGAAACACATTCTAAATGGAAGAATACACAGGGGGAAAAGTATTTTAAATATAGAGAGTTAGTTTCAGCTCAGAAGAATGAAGAAAGCAATGTCTCTGAAGGCATAATTTACCTCCTGAAAGAGCCTTTCCAGTTTATCTGTGAGCTCACAGAAGTATCGTGAGGTAATGAGACCAAGACGGGACTTTTCCAGGCAGTCTCTGGCCAGCTCAATGATCTGGTGGTGTGCGAAGCTGAGGACGCCATCAGCCAGAGGCAAGACGTTTTCAGGGGAGTTGCTTTGGATGATCTCCTTGATGCGCTCTTCCATCTGAGCTGTGGCCTGAAGGGTGGAGAATACAAACCAACAATGAATTCCCCAATAAAGATACAATCACTTGGCACAGAAGATAATTGGTGAAAGCAGGTTACACTTACCTTGGGAAATCTTTCTTTGTACACATGATTCATCATTATAATCTCATGGTCACAGCATGATGGGGATCTTCCAGGACTATCAATGTAATTGAAGAAAAACACATTTTTCAATATACTGTCATGTCATAATTATTTATGAAAACCGTAATATTAATATGGTGAGAAAGAGATGGGCTGTGTCCCAGTTTGCATACATGCGTACATACTTTTAGTGTGTAGTAGTATATATGCGAGGATTACAATACTTCATTAAGTAAATACTTTGACATACTACAACATCTTCATACCAACATAAAGCCCTTCAGGATGATAGAAGACTGCACTGCTTCATGTCATGTTTCTGTCAAGGTTTATTTTGTAAAAATGACCAGCTGATTATAAATTATATCATACTTAACTTTTAGGTTTTACAATTAAGCTCTAAAAGTTAAAGAAGAACAGTAACACACTCTAGCAGTCAAAAAAGGGATGTGGGTAATATTAGCTAAAAAAAAAAGCATATACCATCTTTTGCATACTACTTTCAATACTTTTCAGAAGCAGTAATTCTTGTATACTATACAGGGCAGATGGTATGTGAATTAAGATGCAAAGAAAAGACAGATCTCAGATCAGTGTAAAAGACAACATCTAAGCCTCCTGTACCTGAGACTGCGGGAGCGTGGCCGCATAGGTGTGACTCTTCGGTGGTCGTCTCCAACAATGCTCTCTGTGTAGAAATGCTTGGACAGGAAGTGGAGCTCATCTGGTGTGGGCTGGAAAGGCAGCTGATGGAGCTTCTCCTGTGATGAACAGGACGACTGGAAATGAAACGAAAATACATTGAAAAAGAAAAGAAAAAAAAAGAGAAATGAAATGAAAACAAAATAAGAAAGAAAAGATGCCCACTGATGTGTTACATTATACATCATTAGGTGGATAATGTAGATGATGGAAAAAAATTAAAACACAGCAATGGATTTGACTATTTTCCGGTTTCTTCATGATGATGCGATCTAAAAAAAGATGTGGAGCGGAGACCTCAGTCAACACGCAAGTATTTAAGTGAGGTACTCAAAAAAAAAAAAAAAAAAAAAAACACTATTAATTAACCCATAAAGCAAATGTCATCATTTACTCAACCTCATATCATTCCATATTTGAGAAAATCCTAATACCATCCATTTTTGGATGAACTACTCCATGTAAACATGAGAATCTTAAATTTAATCCAGAATTGACAACTATGACACAAACTCAACTGCCGCTCTAGGCAAATCACTGTCGTGCCGCCCCCACTTCACACTCACAATTAAACACGATCTTTGAGATGCAAGCGAAAGACTGGAGATTTAGTTTATTGATAAAATTGCAGAAAAATAAAATCTCTTTCATTCTGCAATGTAAAAAGTAGCACTAAACCACTAGTACAGCTGCAAATGCAAATTCTGCATTATATTATATAAGTAGTATATGTACAGGCCCGGAAGATTCGGGAGAACTCCTGGTGGGCTGCTGATAAACTGGGCCGGCAGCAGTACCACTTCGTCATAGAGACAGTTTCACATGGGACGTGGAAAGTACAAGTCTCTAGTTCATTTTCAATGAAAGACACATAGAAAGCTCCAAAATTTTGGTAGTTCTAGTAGCGGCGAAGCAACGGTGTGCAAGCGGTGCTCGTACACCCAAAATCACACTTGCGTGTTCACAGCTCTTCGTAGCAGTTATAAATGGGTTATTATAAATATTAATATATGACATATGTTGGTATATAAATATTACGCACGCAATAAGGAGAGCTACATGACTTCTCCCCACTTTCTCTCTCACACATATACAGTACATAAGTCTGCCTTTCAGAAGTGTGCATGTTGGGCTTTAAAATCATTAGTCATCACCAGCAGTAAAGGTCATCATCTTTTGCATTCATGCCCGGATTATTTAATTAATTTTGATGACATTTATTGATGTACATGTTGAGTGTTTTTACATATAGACTGCTCTAAGAGTGGGGTGGGAGGCGGGAGTGGCACTACTAGGTAGAATGAAGGAAAATTAATTTAGATTTACAATATCTAATAGATAATATATCTACATTTTTAAAAAATAATACTAAATTAAATTGTACTCCACATTGAAATCACACTGGTCCAAAATATTGCTCAACTTAAACATCAAATATACAGTACCGTTCAAAAGTTTGGAGTCGGTAAGACTTTTTGAAAGAAGTCTCTTATGCTCACCAAGGCTGCATTTATTTGATTCATATTGAGAAATTTTATTACAATTTAAAATAACTGTTTTCCATTTCATTCTATTTTTAAAATATAATTTATTATTCTGATGGCAAAGTTGAATTTTCAGCATCCATTACTCACAAGATCCCTCTGAAATCATTGGAATATGCTGATTGGTGCAACAAACATTTCTTATTATCATTACTGAAAATGGTTGTGCTGCTTTATATTTTTGAGGGAATAATTTTTTCATGATCTTTTAAATATATTTATTTGAAAGTATAAAGGGTAAATTTTCTAAAAAAACTGACCCATTAGTTGGCTGGTGTGCCAGAATCAAAGCGCTTGCCATCTCCTGTAAGGATGGGCAGCTGCAGCAACTGTGTCACTAAACAACAACAACCAGAGAGTGAGTGAGTGGATGGGCAGCCTGGCACAGTTTCAGGGACATATTTACCAGCAAACAAATCTGGCGCTGCTCAGAGGCACATGAATCAGACTGGGACAAAGTCATGGCAGCATCTGTTGTCCATGGCAGACAGTCTCAGCCAAGTATCATTTCAGTTGTGCATATACATGTTAGTGCAAGGACACAGACACAAACCAAAAGCTTCAAAGCATATGAAGCTTGCAATAACGACAGCATACAAAGAAAAAAAAAGACAGCATACAAAGATAGTGGTATTCATTATACTACTAACAACAAGCTGCAAACTATTTTAGTTGCTAGTTGGAGATCAATCCTACAATGTGATATTAGCTCCATTCCAAAACCAAGTGAGCTGCTTACACACACACACACACACACACACACACACACACACACACACACACACACACACACACACACACACACACACACACACACACATATATATGTATGGTGTAATAGTACACAAACATGATGGTTCATAAGTACCTCGGCATTGAAGTCACGGTTCGGTACAGCAGGGGGGAGAAAACTAAACAAAATTGCTTTTTTTCTTTTTTAAATTAAAGTTTTTTAACAAATGTGTTTAAATAAATTATAATAAAAATTTTCTTACAGATATAAAAAAATATATCTTAGCTAATGCTGTAAAATATATGGGGAGCCCTTAATTACATATTACTATATTAAAGGTTACAATTAACAACAGAGCCCAAATTATTCAAATCAGTCGCTATTTATTTTAATTTTAATAATCAACACTTAAATTTAAAAAAGGCCTGAAAATTGCACATAAGGCATGTTTTGCATTAACTTCTAAATCTAATTATAAAGTAAATTTTCTACTCCAATTTTTTATATTTTATATATATAATCATTTAAACAGTGGCTGTCATAACTTGTTTTCATGACAAATTTATTTAAACATACATTAAGTAATCAAGACATTGCTAACAGGTAAAGTCAATTTAATGAATTGGCTAATGTAGTGCATATACGAAATGCTTGCCTCTAGAGTTCATTTCTTTAGCGAACAAACCTGCTGTCGACAAATGCCCGAGGTAAATGTAATGCTACGTGAGATATTATTCTCAAGTGGTTTTATTGATATCTTTCCGCAGTTGAAACACTGGTTGAGAGATGTAAACATATCGATAGGTCTTCTTTTCTTTTTACTGGTAGCAAACAGTGCTGGATTGGAGTGTGGATCACCCCTGACTGAATGTATTCGTCGTGCGACTGCATGCACCGAACAGTGATGTCCGTTCAGTACGAATACATGTACCGTTACACCCCCAATTTATATATATATAAATATGCCTTCGACTAAAGATTTTTCTAGTCGACTAGTAGTCGTTCATTTGGGCAATTATTCGACTAATCGCGCGTTTATATTAATAAGCCATAAATCATAATAATGCGCCTTTAATTGCCTAAATAAAATACATAGCCTAATCAGCTCTCACGTGCACACATACAGCTTGCCACAGCGTACCGGCAAACGTAATAATTATGAATGTGTCGTGAAAAAAACAGGAGGAGACTGTCTAAACATTTTAATAATTTATTGGTAATGTTTTTTGTATTTACGGCTGAAGAGATTAAGTCACGATGCTGACTCGTCATCTCCGCAGTAGTGGACGCGCCTATATGCACGTTTCATACGGATTACACAATCTGAGAATATTTATTTTCCAGTTGAATCTGTTCATTCAAATGTAGACATGTCAAGCTTTCTATAGATATATTTATCATGTCTGTGAGGCAAGTATACGCTGAATTCCGGTTCATTTTATGTGATGCGCTCAAGTTCACGGAAACCAAATCAACAGAAAGCACCATTTTATAAAAGCACAACATTTTGTTGTGATTGTGAGTTTAAAAAAAGTAGTCCCTTTACAGTTTGCATTACTATTATCTGTATGACCAAAAATGACGGAGTATTTTAAGTTAAATGCAAGTGATCGCGCCGGCGCCTGTATGTCATACAGTAAGCACACTCTCCACAAAAACACTTGAATATGCACCTAATAATAGTGCACATTTATTTAGGTTAGCATAAGAGCGAGCGGACTTGTAAAGTTGCTACTACTAACATGTTTCAAGTGATAAGCCATATTTGAGGTCGATGAATGATAGGCGAATGTTTGGATTTCCTGCCGATAACGATCTGTCCAATACAACCTGCGTGATTTCACCACTTCTTGTGGAGTTTTTTTTCTGCGGTTAATGGACTACTAGGGGGCAGCCCTAATATATACACACTTTACTAAATTATGATGAGTTAATCAGTAAATTCATTGGTTAAAAAGAGTGGGAACCCACAAGAGCATTTGACTACTGGAATACTGTTAGCTTAGCAACATGCTAACATATCGTGTCATAATCGTGTCTCTCGTTTGCTTCACAAAGGAAACAGTGTTTGTTTACTGTGCTCACAAGCTGAAATCTCATTGGTGAAGTCTCGTTTGTTCGCTAGAGAGGTGTGGCCTAAGCCAGCTCGCGCTACTTATACAATGTGTTTTGTAGCACTTATTAGAAAGAAGGAGTCAAGCAAAAGGAGGTGACAGTAACTGTAATTGTTTTGTATATTTTTCTCATTTGATTTAAGTGCAGTTGTAGTTACTAGGAAACACTGTTTGTTTACTGTGCTCACGAGCTGAAATCTCGTTGGTGAAGTCTCGTTTGTTCGCGTTTAGTCACGAGGTAAACAGTTTCGCTGCGTGTCCAGCTGTATTCAATAACGACATTTCAGTAGAGTATAAAGCAAGTAGTATACCGCGGCAGCCCTCGTGTAAAGCCCTCATCGTGTGAAGACCGAAGAGTGTAAAGACCAGCGTCTCTACCTGCGCGACTCCCACTGAGCAAGGACACCGACAAGGCACTTGAGTATTATTTTCTTTTGTTTCCTTTCTCTTCTATGCAACTTTTCTTCGCATCTTTCTGTTGGTGACCTCTCTTTCACTATGCGTTTTCAAATCCCTACTATTACTAACACGCGTAAATCAAATGTCACACGTAGGAGGCAGCACAATCCTAGCAACCTGCATACCTTTCCGGTGTCTTCTAGTACTTCATTCTCTTTTCCCATCGGTCTCTGGAATTGCCAGTCCGCTGTAAACAAAGCTGATTTCATTACATCTATCTCTAAATCAATTCATGGATTAGACCAGAAGACACTGCCACACCTGCTGCCCTCTCCACTAACTTCACTTTCTCACACACCCCTCGTCTGACCGGAAGGGGTGGAGGTACTGGTCTTCTAATCTCAAACGATTGGAAATTTTATCCTTTATCACCTCTGTGTGACAACAGCTCATTTGAATCGCATTCAATTACCATCACTAGGCCTATTAAAATCCATTTTGTAGTTGTGGTCCACCAGGTCAACCAGGTCAACTTGGCAGTTTCTTGGAGGAGCTTGATGTGCTTCTCTCATCCTTCCCTGAGGATTGTACTCCTCTCATAGTTCTTGGAGACTTCAACATCCACCTAGAAAAGCCTCAGGCTGCCGATTTCCACACTCTGCTTGCCTAATTCAACCTCAAACGAGTATCTACTGCGGCTACTCACAAATCAGGTAACCAATAAGACCTTATTTACACGCGCTACTACTCCATTGACCATACACTGGTCACTCCACTGCACACCTCAGATCACTTCCTCCTCACCCTCAAACTCAACCTGCCTCAGAACACTACACAAACTCCTCCACAGGTCACCTTTCGGCGAAACCTCACCCTCTCGCCTATCCTCTTTGGCCTCATCCACACTTCCTCCACCTGATCAGCTCTCAACACTAGATACTAACAGTGCAACTGATACTCTTTTCTCCACTTTAACATCCTGCTTGGACAACTTCTTCCCCCTCTCCTCCAGGCAAGCCCACGCCACACCCTCTGCCCCCTGGCTATCTGATGTTCTCCACAAACATCGTTCTAAACTCAGGGGTGCAGAGAGGAAGTGGCGCAAATCGAAAGATCCTACCGACCTTGGTCTTTATCAATCCCTCCTCTCTTCCTTCTCTGCTAATGTCTCTACTGCTAAAATGACTTACTATCACAACAAAATTAACAATTCTTCTGACTCTCACATGCTTTTCAAAACCTTCTCCTCTCTTCTCAACCCTCCTCCTCCTCCTCCTCCATCAACCCTAACAGCTGACGAACCCATCAGCGGCCAATTTACCAAACCACAAACTGACACACACATCTTACCAGCTAACACACACACTCTACCCTCCATCTCTCTGCTTTCAGAGGCAGAAGTCTCCAAACTCCTCCTTTCCAATCGCCCTACTACCTGTCCACTTGATCCTATTCCCACTAATCTACTTTAAGCCATTTCTTCCTCAGTTGTACCTGCACTCACACACATCATAAACACACCTCTTCACACTGGTACTTCTCCCACAGCATTTAAGCAGGCTCGGGTAACGCACTGCTTAAGAAACCCACTCTAAATCCAGCACATCTGGAAAATTACAGACCGGTATCCCTTCTTCCATTCGTCACAAAAACACTTAAATGAGTTGTTTTCAACCAGATCTTTTCCTTTCTTACACAGAACAACATCCTGGACAACAACTAGTCTGGTTTCAAAAGCGGACACTCAACTGAGACTGCCCTTCTCTCAGTAATTGAAGCTCTGAGACTGGCAAAAGCAGCTTCCAAATCCTCAGTTCTCATCCTGCTGGATCTGTCTGCTGCCTTTGACACAGTTAACCACCAGATCCTCCCGTCAATCCTAAAAACGAAGGGCATCTCGGGAACCGCACTAATGGTTCAAGTCTTACCTCTCGGGAAGGTCTTTCAGGGTGTCGTAGAGGGGTGAGGTGTTTAAGACCCAACATCTAGCTACTGCCTCAGGGCTCAGTGCTTGGACCAATTCTCTTCTCCATCTACATGACATTACTAGGATCTGTGATTCTGAAACATGGCTTTTCCTATCACTTCTACGCTGACGACACACAACTCTACCTCTCATTCCAGCCTGATGATCCGACGGTTGCTGCTCGCATCTCAGCCTGCCTGACAGACATTTCTGGCTGGATGAAGGACCACCACCTTCAACTAAACCTTGTGAAGGCAGTTGCTTGTGGTCCCGGCCAACACTACACCACAACTTCTCCATTCAGCTAGGTTCGTCATCCATAACTCCATCAAGGTCAGCCAGGAACCTTGGAGTTGTGATTGATGATCAATTGAACTTTACAGACCACATTGCTAGAAATGCCCGGTCCTGCAGATTTGCCTTATACAACATTAGGAGGATCAGGCCCTTCCTATAAGAGCATGCTCCTTGTCTAAGCACTTGTTCTATCCAGACTGGACTATTGTAATGCTCTCCTGGCAGGTCTTCCAGCTTGCACTGTCAAACCTCTACAACTGATTAAAAATGCTGCAGCTAGAGTGGTCTTTAACGAGCCGAAGAGAACATACGTCACTCCTCACAAAATTGCACTGATTGCCAGTTGCCGCTCGCATCAAATTCAAGTCACTGACTTTTGCCTGCAGAACAACCACTGGCTCTGCTCCATTTTACCTAAACTCATTACTTCAGACTTACGTACCATCCAGAAACTTGCGCTCTGCAAGTGAACGCCGTCTTGTGGTGCCATCTCAAAGAGGCACAAAGTCGCTTCCTCTGACCTTTTTCTGGTCTGTTACATGCTGGTGGAATGACCTGCCCAACTCATCAACCTTATGAGGTTTTACGCATTTTAGCGTTTTCCGACGTTTCAGTGTGGATGAGAAACGTTTAGAAAATGCTTGAAAACACTAGTGGACACAGAGTGGTTCGAAACGAAAACGGCATTTTCAAATGCCTTAGGTTCACTTTAATGGTGCATTCATACTGACAGCGATTTATTTGCTTGATGCCACCAAATTTCTTTGCGGTCGGTTGCAGGTAGGTCTTCTTCCTATAATAAGGTATCTAACTGCTTCACATGGTGGAATTCTACAAAGATTTTACCCAAAGTGGCCATTAGTACTTGATTCTCTTCAAAAGCCACTGAAAACGAATGACTTAAGAGTCACTTTGTTGCTTCAAAATGCTGCCAGTGAATGCACACATATTTCTACCATCTGAAAAACATACAGTACTTACAGAGACGGTGGAGCTGGGTGTGTTTGTTCCATAGCCAGAGGAGGGAAGCGATGCCAAGGACCAGCGTCGCCCGTCAGTTCTACAAACACAGACAATCCTTCAGTCCATATACCCTCAAGTAATTACAAGTGCTGTATAGAATCATCATCAGTAAATTGCATATACTAGATTGCATTGGCTCCAAGATATGAGAGGCGAGTGTTACACTAGATAAAAGGAAAATGCTGAGTGAGTCATTTATTTTCAAAGTAGATCAGATGAAAGACAGTGGCAGTGTAATCCATGAGCTAGGGCTGCTATCATTTCGAACAGTGCTCTGTGTGCAATTTCCAAAGGGCCTGGCTGATTGAATGGTCTGATGATAATAACAGGAAGACAAATGCCACAAACACTGCATGGGAGGAGAGATAAATGGGTAAAGTAAATACAGAAAAATCCCAAAAATGGTCATGCAGGCACTTGATGTCAATATCCACAGTAAACAGTTATGAACATGTACATGGGAAAGTTTGTGATGCATTATGGTTGATTTCTGGGACAAATGTACAAGTATAATAGAGTGAATCTCATGAATCTTATATCCAGGTCACATTTCACCCCATAATAGGAAGAAAGAACATATAGTAATTATGTATGGATGTCTAATGTCACATTGGAATTTTTTTTTACGGTCCTAAAAAAGCTTCATTGTGTGAAAAAAAGCTTCAATCTGACCTGAACATGTTTATGACAGGTATCATGAGATTTGCTCAATAAACTTAATTTGAATTACCTGTCTGCTCTTAGTCCATGACTAGAGGATTATAAATAGTAAAAAATAATAAATAAATACATAAATAAATAATAGTAATTGGAGTTTAAAAAAAAAAGTTATAAGAATTTTAGAAACAAAAGACACATTTTTCACCCCATCCTGTCTGATCAAACTGAGTTTGACTTGACAGGTTTAAATCTGAACTTCTGAACCACGGTTTTAAATTTGTTTCCATCTAAAATTGTAGAAAGCCTGTCAGCTCCTGAGGTTTTCAAAAGCAGAAACCAGAAGCTTTTATCAGCCACACGCTCCTCACATCAAAGATCATTGTTTACTTGAACACTGTACTGATATGCTGATATTCCTGACAGATCTGGACCACCTATTCTAATAATACAGCCATTTATCTCTCAGATTATGCATTTTGAGCGCTGGTTTATACAGTACGTTCATCTTTCAACATTTTTATTTTCTGGTAATCACACCACCATAATATCCTAAGGTGTTGTGGGTGTTTGCTTGCCCTCCCAAGTCAAAAGAGCCCAGTCCAAGTCTCTATGATACTCTTGTCCCTAGATATGACTTGGGCCCCTCCTTTTTTTTTTCTCATTCTCAAGGTAAATTTTGGGTAGATTATTTAGAAATATAGAAAACTGAGGTGTCCCATATAGATATCATTCATATCTGTTTCCATATCATTACCTGCGTGTGAAGGAAAAATGAGCTGAAGCACTAGGGGAGAAGTTTCTAGGGCTGTCTTGTGGACTGGTGCCTAAAAAAAAACAAAAATCAAAATCACAATTTTTTACTGTGCCAACAATACTCTCTGCTCAGCATTGAATCTTATAACAATATTATTGACATCATCTTCTGCAGTTCCAATTATGGCCGATCCAGTTCCACCATCTTTCTTCTTGAAGAGATAGGGAACATTTTCAGTAAATAACAACATTTTAGTTTGTCACACAAAACTAGTTAAAAACAGTTTTAACCGTATTTTTATTATGCCTTTTTGACAAACAGAAATAACAAACAAAATAAGGGTGAGTTAAACCTAGAGACAGGCCAGAAATGCCCCACACCATTGTCGCCATATGTTCACTCTTATTAGCTGAACCCCACTGTTTCTAGGGGATTGCTTTTGGCAATATGGCCACATTTGAGGGTCTGGGACATCCCAAATCATGGCCATTAGAGCAAAACAGCCTTTTGCCCTGTAATAATTACAGATAATTAACCTGATTGAATAAGGGTAGGAGTTAATAGTTAATTAACATCCATGTCTGTGGCCCCACCGGTGTTGATAAAGAGAGGCCCCTGAGCTTTGCTGATGGTCGCTGCTCATTAGTAGTGACTTATTTACTGATATTCACACACAACTGATAAACAGAGACAAATTATTTGAAAATAATGGAAATAAACTAATAATGATGTGGAATTTGCATATTAACTGAGGTTTTCAACATCAGATGCCAATCTAATGGCTGATATAGTGAATACAATATACACTACCGTTCAAAAGTTTGGGGTCGGTACGATTTTAAATACTTTTAAAATAATTATCTTCTGCTAACCATGGCTGCGCTTATTTGATTAAAAATACAACAAAAATCAGTTATAGTATTAAATATTATTCCAGTGTAAATCAGCTGTTTTCTGTGTGAATATATAGTAAAGTGTAATTTATTCCTGTGATCAAAGCTGAATTTTCAGCATCACCAGTGTCAGTGTCTTCAGTGTCAAATGATCCTTCACAAATCAGTATAATATGAGGATCTGATGCTCAAGAAACATTTATTATTATTATCAATGTTGAAACAGTTGTTGGTCTGTCAGTTGTACAGTTTTTTTTTTTTTTTTTTGGATTCTTTGATGAATAGGAAGTTCAAAAGACTTTTGTAACATTATAAATGTCTTTACTGTCACTTTCGATCAAATTAATTATTCCTTGATAAATAAAAGTATTGATTTATTTCCTCCAAAAAATAAAAATAAAATTCTCACTGACCCCAAACTTTTGAACGGTAGTGTATAAAATACAATTCATAACACAGAGTATACTAATATATATATATTAGGGCTGTCAAATGATTAATCACGATTAATCACATCCAAAATAAAAGTTTTTTTTACATAATATATGTGGGTGCACTGTGTATAATTATTTTGTATATATATAAATACACACATATGCATGTATATTTAAGAAAAAAATATTATTTATATATAAAATATTTATATTTATATATAATATAAATTATATATAAATCTATATACAGTATATACATGAAAATATTTCTTAAATATATACAAGCATGTGTGTGTATTTATATATATAAAATAATTATACACAGTGCACCCACATATATTATGTAAAAAAAACTTTTATTTTGGATGTGATTAATCACGATTAATCATTTGACAGCCCTAATATATATATATATATATATATATATATATATATATATATATATATATATATATATATATATATATATATAAATAAATATAATACAGGAGTTTTTTTGCAAGAAATAAATTATTTTATTCAGCAAGGATGCATAAAATTAATTGATAACACTTTACAATAAGGTTCATTTGTTAACATTAACTAATGTATTAACTAACATGAACTAACCATGAGCAATTGATTTGTGACTATTTGTTAATCTTTGTTAATAAAAATATAGCAGTTTGTTGTTTGTTCATGTTAGTTCACAGTGCATTAACTAATATTAACAAATGCATCTCTTGATTTTAATAATGTATTAGTAAATGTTGAAATTAATATGAACAAAGATTAATAAATGCTGTAGATGTGCAGTTTGCATTATTGTTATTATTTGCAGTATTGCATATGTGCATTATTAGTTCATGTTAACTAATGAACATTATTGTAAAGCGCTACCAATTAATTAATATAAAAAGTACAGATTTTCACAATTTATTTCTACTTTCTATTCATAAAATAATTTTGGGAAAAAAAGGATTACTGTTTCCAACAAAAATAATAAGCAGCACAAACATTTTCAATAATGGGAAAATAATAAGAAATGTTTATTGAGCACCAAATCAACATATTAGAATGATTTCCGGAATATGTGACACTAAAGACTGGAGTAATGATGCTGAAAATTCAGCTTCGCAATCACAGGAATAAAATTACATTTTTAAATACAGTGCTGGTCAGAATTATTTGCCCCCTTGGTAAATATGATCAAAGATGGCTGTAAAAAATACATCCACATTGTTTATCCTTTATGAAATCACATTATGAAATAAATGTTTTTCTCCAAAACACCTTGGGAACAATTATTTGCCCCCTTCTATTAAATACTTTTTGCAACCACCTTTTTCCAAGATAACAGCTCTGAGTTTTCTCATATAATGCCTGATGAGTTTGGAGAACACCTGACAAGAGATCAGAGACCATTCCTCCATACAAAATCTCTCCAGATCCTTCAGATTCATGTTGGCGCTTCTTCTCTTCAGTTCAGCCCACTCACTTTCTATAGGGTTCAGGTCTGGGACTGTGATGGCCATTGCAGATGCTTGGTTTTGTGCTCAGTGACCCATTTTTGTTTTGATTTTGATGTGTGTTTTTGGATCACTGTCCTGTTGGAAGATCCAAACATGGCCCGTTATAAGATTTCTAGCACAGGCTGTCAGGTTTTGATTTTATATCTGTCTGTTGGTATTTGATCGAATTCATGATGCCATGTATCTGAACAAGATGTCCAGGACGTCTGGCAGAAAATTAGGCCCACAGCATTAAAGATACACCAGAGCATTTCATTTTACACATGGGGTACTTTTTTATCCATGTATGAACCAAACCCATCTTAAGTGTTTGCTGCCAAAAAGCTAATTTTTTTGTTGTTTTTTGAAAGTTTTTTTTTTTTTTTTGTCTTAGAATTCTAACGGCCATGTTTGGATCTTCCAACAGGACAGTGATCCAAAAACAAACATCAAAATCAAAACAAAAATGGGTCACTGAGCACAAAACCAAGCAACTGCAATGGCCATCACAGTCCCAGACCTGAACCCTATAGTAAATGAGTGGGCTGAACTGAAGAGAAGCAGCGCCAACATGGATCTGGGAATCTGAGGGATCTGGAGAGATTTTGCACGGAGGAATGGTCTCTGATCTCTTGTCAGGTGTTCTCCAAACTCCTCAGCCATTATATGAGAAGACTCAGAGCTGTTATCTTGGAAAAAGGAGATTGCAAAAAGTATTTAATAGAAGGGGGCAAATAATCGTTCCCAATGCGTTTTGGAGAAAAACATTTATTTCATAATGTGATTTTCCCCCCACTTTCAATTCAGCCATCTTTGATCATATTTACCAAGGAAGCAAATAATTCTGACCAGCACTGTATATTCAAAACAGTTATTTTATATTGCAATAATATTTCACAATATTAATGTTTTTACTGTATTTTTGATCAAATAAACGGTGCCTTGGTGAAGAAACTTCTTTCAAAAACTTTTTTTTTAAATCTTACCCACCCCTAAATTTTGAAAAGTAGTGTAAATCAACGTATAAATGTATTAAACTTTATCCTCATAATTCATAACTCAAGTCTATAAATGCTATTCTAAATGGCATCTGAGAGCACATGCTGTTATGAGCCAGTTGACTGCCTCTAGATTTCATGACTATAAAACTAAAGTGACATTTAATCAGATTAATACACTGTAATTAAATCAACAGTAATGCTGAATGCTCTTTAAAGGTTTCCAATAGAGCACAGGGGCAGTGTGTGCGCAGTCGGCAGAATGAGTAAGACACAGATCTAGCGGACAGCTCATGAATTAGACAAAAGATTGCTGCTCAGACACATCATGTTTTGCGGACCTGGCCGTGGTACAACAGACTGCTCTCTGTAATATAGGTATGTATTAGATTTTGCCCTAATCAAGTGTGAAGCAACAAATTTCCAAGAAAGGAGCCAAACAAAAGGTTGATGTTTAATATAAAGCTGTTTTCATTATATTAGTGGTTTTGTGGATCAATGATATTTCACTATGGGCAGGACTATACTGCGAAATAGAATCCAAGGGTCACTCTGACGGACATCAAAACCATCAGTATATGTGCACATACACAAACAGACAAACACACTGAACTGGTTACCTGTGTGTGATGACAGAGGTGAGTGAGGTCGAGGAAGGGCTGATGACTGTCCACTCCCTATTAGACTTTTTCTGTTGCTTGTTCTGCAGCTAGAAAAACAAACCAAAAAATTGTGTTTTGTGAACAGACCACTGTGTTACAGAAAAATGACAACAGCAAGACTATTTGAGAGGCATTAATACCGGTACTTTATTTGTGCATCTGTCATTACATAAAGTATCATTGTAGCATATGTAAATAACGACAGATGTACCATTATAGATAATTGATTTTATATTAGAACTGCATTGGTAAATAGCAAATATAATTTCCTCGAACACTGCTCTGTGAACATGCCAAGAAAAACTAAGATCATGAAAATTAAACTAGCTCTCCTACTGTACGTTAGTGAATTATTTAACACCATTTCACATCCACACTATGCCAGGGGCAGATTCAGCACCAGGGGCCCATTCAAGCATGTGCCCCCTCAGGTTTTTGAGCCAAATGGATTTGAATGCAGCTTCCAAAAGACTAATAAATAATAAATTAATAAATAATACTTTTACTTTTGATAGAACATCCAGTGAGTCACGTGATCAACTGCTAAATTCAAATCTGCGTTCGCACTTTGGCTGGCGCTGAGCCAGAGACGGATGTGCTCACCTGTCATGTATCACAACTATTCAGTGTTTACTCTAATCTTAAAATATTGTAGGTACCCTACAAAACAAACAGTGCCCCAAAGTTGTCATATTTTGGTGAAATTCTTAGTTTTGAAGCATCCCAAAGTGCAGATTATAGAGAACTTGATTTTTTGTGTTTGCCCTTGTAAACCTCACTTGCCATGATGTAAGGGCATTATTGCTAAGGTGTTCTGGGAGACTACTGAACATTGGTAACTGATTACTTATTGTCTTTACATACGAAGACCTCCGAAGCAAAAGCCTCTAAAAGCCACCTCTGTCAAAAATGAGATAATAATATTGAGTGAAGGCTCTCTGCACATAGTATACGTTCATCAAATACTTTCATTTCAAACTTACTAAATCCCAGCATCAGCCCATTCAGAAATGCCGGTACTTGGGTAGAAACCTATACATAGGAGCCTGATAAAAATGTTAATATTAAACAAAAACTTTAGACAGACTTAGAGGCTTTTGCATCTGAAGTCTTCATATGTCAAAAGAGCACAACCTCAAGTCTTTATGATATTCTGGACTGCTGTATAATTTTATTTTTCACCTGTTCCACAGAAAACTGATTTTGATAGCTTAATAATAACACATATGGCACATATCTATGCAAAAAATCCCTAACCCCAAGTATAGGCAATTGGAATAGTGATTCTTTAGCAGCAGAGTAGTGGAGGACAGGGTGAAATCCTAGAGGGGAATTGAGCATGTGACTCTGGCCTCTTCTCTAGTCATTGAACCCAAAGCTGGTGTCTAAATGGCAGCCTGGCAGACATCACAGATGACATTGCAAAGCCCTTGTGATCAACACCTCAGCAAAGAGACTGTGAAGAGCACTGTCAGTGAATCTATCACATTCAAGGAGGTGTTAAAGGAATAGTTCGCCCAAAAATGAAAATTCTATCATCATACTCACTTTCAAATTTTTTTTTGAGGAACCGAAAAGTATGCATTTAACACAATGTCCAGGCTGCTCTTTTGCATACATTGGAAGTGAACTATGACTTCAGCCATCTCTATGATTCATAACTTATCCTATCCCACTTGAAAGCATGAATACTGTATTAAAGAAAAGGCCATGAGAAATAAGTATTCGCCACAGCTTATTATGGGAATTAAGGTTAAGACAGTTGAGTATTACTCTCTAGGTCAGCACATTGGCTGAAAATGTGCATGATTTTAGGAAAACAAGAAACACTTTCCAGCTTTTAGTGAACTAAGATGAATTAGGCAACAATCATAAGTATTTGAGCAAGACCTACCAGTGCAGACGAATATGGAAAAAAAAAAATATACTACAAACCATGATGTCTCTGAATAATATGATATTTGGCTATACTGTATGCTAGAAAATCAAAAACCATTCAAATAATTTTACTGCAGGTGGAGCATCAGAAGACTCTATGCCTCTTATATGACTAAAAAATAAATGTCAAGTAAGAAAAGTGGCAATAAAGCACTTTAAAGGGGCCATATTATACATTTGTGTACCATTTTTGTTTTAATATTTTCTCCTGAAGCCCACCACAAGGTTTCTTGCACCAAATATATAGTTGCACTTTAGTTTTACATGACCATTTTTCACCTTTAATCTGACCCTTAGACTTCAGATATGTAAAATTATGTACAGTAAACCTTTGAAGTCACTTTTGTGAGCTCATTGTTACAATGTTAAGATTTCATGACAAGCTGTTTTTGCAATAAATGGTGTTTTGGACCTGTGAAAGAATTTTGAGATGTGAAAGTTACTTTAAAAGAGAAAGAAAATACCCCTTTAAATGTGAGGCATGGTTCAGTATAATATCTGGTTCATGAGCGCTCAGTTAAAGAGGATCAGATTTTGCTATTTATACAGCTCTTACACACAGGCAGATTAGAAATGAACAGTGCTCAGCTCCATACTTCTTACTGTAGCTATGATGACAAATTCAATAACTCATGCTACATCTGGAAAAAACCCACACAGAAATGACTATAAGCAACGTAATGACTGAATCAAAGTATCAGTCAATGTTATGCTATTTGACAACAGACATTTTGCTTCCGTCGCTGTGTGTAAATGCCTGAATGACTAGTCACGTTACAAAAGCCAATTGTGAAGTTGTCTCTTTAATGGTCTTGGCTTGTCCTCAGTTAGTCCTTTGTTTAATTTACAAAGAGTTAAATCCATCATTGTTCATTGCATATAAACAGTCTCTGCTAAATTATATGACAATGTGGTTGGTGCATGTGCTTTACACATGCTTCAGCAGTAGTAATCCTGGGAATGTATCGTTTGAATCCAGTCATATCTTTTTTTCCGTGACCCTTTCTCTTTCACATTCATTTCCTGGCTCTCCTACCAAATCATAAAATTAATACTTTGAGTTAATTTCAGTGCTAATGCTAATAAATGCGAATTATATGATGCCCAATTTATAAAGCCCTAGAGAAACATCCAGTAACTTCCCTTCTAAACATCGCCCTGAAGTACGATCTGCACAGCATCCGCCCATGCCATTCAATACAGAAATGAAACAATATAAATATCTAATACCTAAATTACTTTGCAAGTGTCACTAATTTATATCATGTTAACAAACTTCATGGCCAACATGTCAGAAGACTCAGAATGTCAACAATAGTCAGAAAAAAACATTCTGTACTCTAAAAACATGATTGAATACAAGGACATATTTGAGGAGCCAAGAGCCTAATCAAGGTCAGTTTTATGAATTAAGAAGAGATACATAATATAACATTTAGTTATTGTATAATTTTACTAAATAAGACATGAGGAAAGCCTTGTTCTTGGTTTCATAGCTGAGTGTTATTATCACAGTTATTACACAAAGACAGATTACGGAACCCTCCACCCAGTACAAATCAATAAACACAGCACTGTGAAGAAAGCACAATGCACAATCATGTCTTGCATGTTTTCCACAACTAATTCACTTCAAACAAATGACAGATTCAGTCAGATTTACTCATCCTGAGGACATTAATCGGATCATCTGTATCATCAACGGTAAAATGGGTCATTCCCAGGATTAAAATGTGTGCAAGAAGGAAAAACAGAAATGCACATGCATGCTTGATAGCAGAGATATCTATGGCTGGTTGGCCTTTTGGTGAAGGTTTGGTCTTGTCACATGAGAGGTGAAAAGGATACAGCACATAACTGCAAAAGCAGTGTACACGACTGTATCCGTCAAATAACACAGAGACAGCCAGCAATGCTCAAGAGGATTTAAAGGACTATTCATTTTCCTCACATTCAACATGCATATTTAGACAAATGCATGGTAATTACTCCTGTATGTAAACATCTTTTGTGCCTGCTGCATGCACTGAACAAAAACATCCTGATTACAATCACGAGGTACTCCAGTTCAGAATTCACAAAGGAAATTTAACACAATAGAAAACACAGCACCTGCATTACCATATTGTTCTTGTCTATAACCTCAACTCACTTAATTCTTGATGAAGTTCTAAGACTTAAAAACCCAAACCCACAAAACTGCAAAGTGGCGACAAACAATCAACCTGAACTTGATTACCTTTTGGAGCGCCATAGACTTGTTCCACTGATAAAGTGAGGCATAGAAAAGTTGGAGAGCATAGTCCATAAGCTGGAATCAGACATTGTCCTAAAGTCATGACCCCAGAGTGCTCTGAGCTGTCTTAAAAAAGAGAGTGAGGAGAAATGCCTGGCTTCCAAGAGAAGTAGGCACCCAGCGCAAGAGTCCTGGGAAGTCCTCCCAGCACAACGCTCTGCCACTACAGAGTTTCGTCCAGGAACATCTGCTGCTCGCTGCAGCATGCACAGGCTGTCAAGGGGACTGTGTGTCCTTTGAAGTGTCCTAAATCGAATAGCGAGAAAGCTTCTCTGAGCTGCTTCCTATTCGGGTCATATCCATTCCTGCTCGAACGCTGGATGCCTCTGGGACAGAGGAACAGGACTACTTCCAGCAGGATGACTTTTTGTTTTGATGTGAAAGTTGTGTGGCTTTACCGCTATCCTGTAGACTCATTGAGAGTCAAGAATGCTCCATATCATGTAACAGGCACCTACCGTACCACATCCTGAGGCAGGGAGGGGAGAGGAAAGGAAGAGAGGGGGTGTGAGTCAGAGGAGCAATGCATCATCAGCAGACGACGCAATGAATGCAATCACGGCTCTCCCTGTCTGGCCCTGCTCCAGAACCCCTAGGGCCATTTGAAATGGACAGCGTTTCAACCGTAACCATGTGCAGGTCCACCTCTTTTCCCTTCTTTTTTTTTCTTAATTGGACCTGCCATATGAGGAAAACCACCCTCTCTCTTCCACTTCAACACCTTTGATCTGCTCCTGTTCTGTTCTTCAATCTGCTCTTTTGGCAGGCAGGGACACGAGGCTCAACCTCCCTGACACATGACAGATGAACTTG